CAGTCCCTGGGGTATACAGCAAATCGGGGTCAGTCCCGGGCCCCACATTTTGGGGAGGAGCCCGTGCTTCCATATCACGGTATCAGATGTAATATTTCCGGTTTAGTTTGAAGGTACCATCCGCCAAGCTGTTTCTCCCTCCATACAGAAACAACCACTTGATACTCCGGTCAAAACCATCACACTACCATATATAGCAGGCGTTACTAATAAGATCTCCAAAATTCTAAACAAACACAAGATCCTGGTCCGGTTCAATACAGTACACAAAATCCGTGACCTGATCCAATCCGTGAAGGATGTCGTTCCTGACTTACAGTACCCCGGGGTTTACAAACTGAGCTGCACCTGTGGTGACTGCTATATCGGGGAGACGAAACGACATGTCTCTGACCGAATTCGCGAGCACAAATCAGATTTGAAACACGGCAGAACGAATTCTTCTGCCGTAGCTGATCACTGTTACAACGCTGTGGGTGATCACGATATAGTTTTCTCCGATACCAAGGTTCTCTGCAAACCCACGGGTTTTTATCAGAGATTTGTCCACGAGGCAATTCAGATTTACAAACACAGACAATTTCACCCGAGAGGATGGTTTCAAATTAAGCAATCATTGGAAAGATGTTCTAAATCAAACCAAACATTAAACTAATTTTCAATGGTACAGTATATTAATTCAAGTAGTGGTATTCCAAACTTTCACAGCAGCTTATTTCCCTTCACACCAACATTATGCAAATTCCCCCCCCCCACCGTGCCGGTCCAGTACATCATTTTACGCTAATTCCTTTGTCAAGGCGTTTTTTGTTTCCTCCCACACAGCTTAAAGGACGCGACCTGGGCTTGCTGTCTTCACTCCAACGCTGTCCTCTGGACAGTCCAGTCCCTTCACCTGATGAAGGCCACTTGTGTTGTGGCCAAAACGTCGTGATTTTTTGTTATTTATTTTTACCTACGTGACTTTACCGAATAGAACCAAAGAGTATGGATCCTTGCAGTCACGAAAGCTTCAAATCTAGAACTGGGGGCATGCCCTGTTACACCCCTGTGCGCGTGGAGCTCGCAACCCCCGACAAGTTAAATATTTATTTTAAACAAAATAGGTAAAGGAGGCAAGATTTTCAAAAGCACACGCTTTTATCTTCACTAAAAAGCAAATTTAATTATTTAGAATTGATCAAATGTAACGCGCTCATTAATAAAATTAAACGTACATCCAAAGGAAGCCGGCCACTTTTATTGAGCACATCACCTTACTTTTGAGTGCTATTAAAAGTGTTCGCATTGAACATTTAAAAATCTGGTTTAATTCCCTAATAGTTTGTAGTGTATTTGTTGTTGCTCTCGCGTCTCATTGGTCAGAGGCTGGCCAGCAACCGCCGCTGTGATTGGACCAAACGTTTCGCCGTTGTAGGGTTGGCGCGACCATTCGTGATTTCAAAAAAATGGGGGGGGTAAAATGTACGACTATTAATTCATTTTCTTTGGGTATTTCGGTAAAGTCACGTAGATAGGTTCAAAAAATAATAAAATTAACGAAAAACTACGACGTTTCGATGGCGGCACAAGCGACCGTCATCAGGTGGAAAAAAAGGGGGGTAAGCCATGCAAGGCAAGCTTTCGGTAAAGTCACGTAGGTATAAAATAAATTACGACGTTTCGGGCGCAACACAAGCGTCCATCATCAGGTGAGAAAGCATTTTATGTTTCTATCTACGTGACTTTACCGAAAGAACCAAAGAGTATGGATTCCTGCAGTCACGAAAGCTTCAAATCAAGATTGAAAGGCAAGCTGGTTTTAAATGTTTAAAATGGGCCTAGCCCAAGCGTCCTGGTCTCAGAACGAAGTGGGCAGGGCACAAGTGCCCTGGGTGATGACCTGATGACGGTCACTTGTCGTGCGATCGAAACGTCGTCTTTTTAATTTATCTTATAATTTTTTGAACCTATCTACGTGACTTTACCGAAAGACCCAAATAATATGAATTCCTGCAAGTCACGGAAGCTTTAAGTCAAGATTATTCATTGGTAAACTTTATTTAAAAACAATAATACCACGATCGGCGGGACCTGGACCGGTTTTTAAAAAAAAATCTGGGAATTGTCATGTGAGGCGAGCCTGTGTGTAGAACATTTCAACTCGATAGGCTTCGTAGATGCGCAGATATTCATCGTCAAAGATCCCAAAGAATATACTCTCGTGTGGCCATACAGGGGTGTTTTTTTGGTGTTAGATCGCGTAAATATATCAATGTGTCGTTAAAACCCGCCACCACCCGACACAGTCAACTAGTAAGGGTTGTCACGTAAACAGAACGTGCCAATTCGTCACTAAGTTACAGCCCTAACCGGTGTGTTGCAGAGCCAAGCCACAACATTTACAATCTTAGTACCGTGACGTTTCGCCAGTAATTACAACGAGCTTCATCAGGCGACAGCCAGATTTGTGAAGTCCACCTCTCCAGTTCTTATACAGAGGTGCAGATGTGATGACGACACTTGTGCGCTCTTCTTGCGCAAAGTGGGGGTGGGGGGGGGGTAAATGAAGCAACGTACAATATGCATGCGCATTATACTGGAGGAATCCGATGAGCTGTAAAGCTCTTTTTCCCCCCCACAGACGTGCAGTAAATAGCGCCACCTGCAGGACTTTCGGTCAAAGTGACGCCGGACGCAACCCGAGAGATTTTCGGATTCTCCATCTCCAAGGCGACCCCATAAAGCACCAGAGGAGTAACAATTCGCCAAACATCCCAAAATCATCGACGATCAGCATCCACGATCCCCGGAGCTTTTGCATGACCAGCTGATTTACCTCCCAGTTTCACGACGCCACGTGCTGCCATCTACTGGGAAGCCCGAGCCGACGACTGTTTGATAATTTTGTTTTTATCTTCTTTGGTTCTTTCGGTAAGGTCACGTAGAATGAGAATAAAATAATAAAATAACACAATAAAATTCTCACGACGCTTCAAGCTCTGTCGTCCCGACAGGTCTGTACCTTTCACCTGAAGACGGCCGCTTGCGTTGTGGCCGAAACGTCGTGAGAATTTTATCGTGTTATTCTATTATTTTATTCTCATTCTACGTGACCTTACCGAAAGAACCAAAGAAGATGAATCCTTGCAGTCACGAAAGCTTTAAATCGAAATTTGTTTTTATTTCACCGGGTTAAGGCCCACCGAGCCACGTTATTCCTGTAAGCTTTTTTTTCGGAAGTGGCTTATCACGCGGGAATGTTACAGCAGCCAAATGCCCTACACGCGTGTTTATAACCTGGAGGAGAAAAAACATCCACACGACCACGGGGAGAGATACACCGCAAACTCCAGGCGTCAGGGGTCCGGGACCGAGCCCCACAAACTTCCTGCAAACCAGGCGAGGTAGTTACCATCTCCAAGCCACCGTGATGGTGATGAGAGACACCGCAAACTCCAAATAAACAGCAGCAGCAGGCGTCAGGGGTCCGGGATCGAGGCACACAAACTTCCTGCAAATGCGGCGAGGTAGTTACCATCTCCAAGCCACCGTGATGGTGATGAGAGACACCGCAAACTCCAAATAAACAGCAGCAGCAGGTGTCAGGGGTCCGGGATAGAGCCCCACGAACTTCCTGCAAACCAGGCGAGGTAGTTACCATCTCCTAGCCACGGTGTGCGAGACTACACCAGGTTATTCCCTGGCAGTACTGGACTAAGAACCAGGTTCCAACCTGCTTAGAAACGACCGCATCCTGGAGTAGTTCGACACCAGAATGCAGCCCCCCCCACCCTGGGCCAGGTTTGAAGCCCTCAGCCAGGATGGGAATGAATCATCGCACGGCACAGACAGCCCCGGCGGGCATTCGGGTTGATGCGCTTTGCCCGTGGCCAGTTGCCATTGTCGAGAATTGAACTCATCAGTGAGTCATGCACTACAACAACCACCACAACATCCACCACAACAACCAATACAACTACAACCACCTCCACAACAACCACAAACTACAACAACCAATACAACTACAACAACCACGAACAACTACAACAACAACCACAACTACAACAACCACCACAACATCCACCACAACTACAACAACCAATACAACTACAACCACCACCTCCACAACAAACACAAACAACTACAACAACCAATACAACTACAACCACAACAACAACCACGAACAACTACAACAACCACCACAACAACCACCTCCACAACAACCACAAACAACTACAACCAATAGAACAACTACAACATTCACAACAACCACACACAACTACAACAACCACAACAATCACCACAACCACAACTACAACAAACTACAACAACCAATACAACAGCTACACTAACCAATACAACCACAACAATCACCACGACAACCACCACAACTACAACAACCAATACAACTACAACAACCAATACAACCACAACAATCACCACGACAACCACTACAACAACCAATACAACAACTACAACAACCAATACAACAACTACAACAACCAACACAACAACTACAACAACCAATACAACCACGACAACCACTACAACAAACAACTACAACAACCAATACAACCACAACAATCACCACGACAACCACCACAACAACCAATACAACTACAACAACCAATACAACCACAACAATCACCACGACAACCACTACAACAAACAACTACAACAACCACAAACAACTACAACAACCACAACAATTACCACAGAGAAGCCCAATAAGCGCGCCCAGGTCGCGCGCTGATGACGTCTCCCGCCCCACGTGACCGCCCCCCGGCGGTGCCGCGTAGTGCGGGCCCGGGACCCCGAAGGATCGGCGACTCTCCCCGTCTCGTCGGCCCCTCGTGTCTCCCGCTGTCTCCCCGTGTCTCCCGCTGTCTCCCCGTGTCTCCCGCTGTCTCCCCGTGTCTCCCGCTGTCTCCCCGTGTCTCCCGCTGTCTCCGTCTCCTCCCGGTGTCTCCCCGTGTCTCCCGCTGTCTCCGTCTCCTCCCGGTGTCTCCCGCTGTCTCTGTCTCCCCGTGTCTCCCGCTGTCTCTGTCTCTCCGTGTCTCCCCGTGTCTCCCTGTGTCTCCGTCTCCTCCCGGTGTCTCCCGCTGTCTCTGTGTCCCCCTTCTCCGCGCGCCATGAGGTTGGTTCGCGCGCTGCTGCAGAGCGGCGCGGGCAACATCCCGCGCCACATCGAGCACTACTCTCGATTCTCGCCCTCACCACTCTCCATGAAGCAGTTCATGGACTTCGGTGAGAGCGGCCTCCCTCCCCGCTGTGCACCCCCGCACCGTGCCGCGCGCGTGCTGGACCCGTGCCGCGCGCGTGCTGGACCCGTGCCGCGCGCGTGCTGGACCCGTGCCGCGCGCGTGCTGGACCCGTGCCGCACGCGTGCTGGACCCGTGCCGCGCGCGTGCTGGCTGGACCCGTGCTGGACCCGTGCTGTGCCCGTGCTGGACCCGTACTGCGCGCGTGCTAGACCCGTGCTGCGCGCGTGCTGGACCCGTGCTGGGCGCGTGCTAGACCCGTGCTACGCGCGTGCTGGACCCGTGCTGGACCCGTGCTGTGCCCGTGCTGGACGCGTGCTGGACGTTGCTTGCTACCGCCAGATCGGCCTATCACTTCCCCACGCACTCGGACACCCTGCTACCCTTCGTTTTCCCTCTGCCCATCGCTCCCTGCTTGCTCCCTGCTGCTGCCTCGCCATGTGGAATGTATGTTGAACTTCTTTTGCACCGTACTTGACCAACCGTGCGAATCGGATGTGCGGGGGAAGGACAAGAAACTAAACCTCAAAAAGCAGTTCTAAAGAAATTAGTCTAGATTATTTGAAAGTGCGTAGCTCCAGTGGCTTCCTAATATCGGAAGGAAGAGCGTTCCAGACGGCCGCAGAAGCGCATCTGAAAGCGCTGTCAGTTCGCCAGCATCGGTTCAAGAAGCAAAGCCTGGCTGCTGACGAGACACTGGTTGTCAAATGCGGCCCACACAGTTTGCCTGTATGAAACCTAATCCATTGGCCAAACTAGACACGGATACCTGTACCACCTAAGGTAGCAGAGCGTTCAATCGCACCGATGTATTTGTCTGGATAATGACAGAGGATTCTTTCGATAACAAACTTTTTTAAAATGGTTATCACATAATTCACTGATTTTGTCCATTGTCAAGAAATTTGAACCCCCCGACAAGTGACGCCAACTTTGGTGGAGAGTTCTATGTATGCGCTGGGCCCATGTGACTGATTTCGCATGAACCACGAATAGCAGGGATCGTATTTGAATTCCCACGAGCTGTGACAGCACTGTTGAGCTGGCTTTACGTTAACACTTCGTTGCTGCGGTCATATCATTTATCATGCATGTTTATTTTAGATATGCCTGCGTGCGGGCTGTTTTGTTTACTTAACACGCGCGCGCTTTGTGTGTGTGTGTGCGTGCTTATATATTGTTGTTGTATGTGAGCTGGCCCAGTCGCCCGGAGGTTAGTGCCTAGCTGGCAAAGGCCACTGATTAAACCGACTTGTCGAGTCGATTGAGTTTATGGTTCCAGCCCGGTCACCAATGACTGCACCAAAAGACCTTCACGTTACATTTGGTTACGCAGTTAATTTGGCTGAATTCCAGCTCGGAAAATAAATATACATTTTGTATGATTATCAAGCAATGAATATTACTCGAGCAGGGTAGGTGGGGAGCGTGCTGTCCCCTAGTGTGAAAAGTATGTTACTTGAAGGGGTCAAGCTGGGGGCAACAGGGAAAGAAAGCAATCGCATGTTTTGTGCGCGTGGTCATCATCACGTTCCATGGGCAGATAGCCCCCGTAGGTGTACACCGCACATTTCGTCATCTGTTTCCACTTTCATCGCTGTCTTGTGCCAGTATGCTCAAGTAGTGCCTCATCTTTCTGGTACCAATCTCTTGTGATGTCGTCGTCAAGCCAGTCTCTGTTCAGGTCTTCCTCCTTGAATTGGTTCCAAACAACAACAACAACAACACTTTTTATATGCCTGTTGTTGTCCACCCCGCGTGTTGACAGGCTCGGAGAATGCGTGTGAGAAAACGTCTTTCACCTTCCTGCGCCACGAGCTCCCGGTGCGACTCTGCAACATCATGAAGGAGATTAATTTGCTCCCAGACAAACTCCTGCAGACTCCGTCCGTACGCCTCGTTCAGAGCTGGTGAGTGGCGTCTGCCCAGTGCCCGGGGCGGCACGGTCAGGCCAAGGTCTCTCCGTGTGAAACCTAAGATGATGGGCACTACGCTGGACGACCCTCCCTCGCAACACCCGAGAAACCCAACTGCGCCGAGATGCGAAAACCGACGCCAGGTTCATTATGCGTTCAGTCAGCCGATCGGGCGATCGTTTTTGTTGTTTTAATAGCTGGAAAATCGTGCGCCCGGCGTTAGGGGACGTGTAGATCGTGGAGTCGGACAGTGGGCACAGTGTTGTCTTGTGTTTCATCTGTGTGCGGTGCGAAGCGATGACAGGCGATGTGTGATATGTGTGTGTGTGTGTGCCAGCTGCTTGTGCGATAGGAAAAGATGGCTATTTTGAGCAGCAGACGTTGCCGCTTATAGTACATCTCGAGGAAGCATTCGTATTGTCACTGATTCATTGACCTTACACGTATCGTTTATTTTATGTAAATATGATGGCTTTCAAAACACGCGTTCATATGGCTGTTGCAGTGGCAAAGGTGAATATGAAATGGAAAAAGTTACAATAGCATTTATTGATGAAAAACAAACCCGCATCATTGTCACCCATGATCTGTCTACTGCTGGATAAAAGCCTCCCAAAGTTTTCACTGAAACATTTTTTTTTTTAGAACTGCATTTTGTGAGTTTGTTGTCCTTCCCCCGCATGTCCGATTGGCACGTTTGGCTACATACGGTGCGAAAGAAGTTCAACATACATACATACCATCTCCATGCAACGATCTATCTACCTCCCGCAAGATTCTGCTTTTTTAAAGAAATATAATGAAACTGACTTGGAAGAATCACGGAGCCATCAGCCTCTTATCGCACACGAATGAATGCTTCACGAAGAACACTGGAAGCGGAACGTTCTGTTGCGGCTTTAGGGATAAGGTCAGCCGTGCGTTCTTCCGCGTTAAAATGTTGAGCCTGAGCTTGAGGTCAGCTCACCCGTCGATGACCCTCCGTGTGCTCGATTTGCGTCCGATTGGAACTCTCCTTTATCTTGCAGGTACAACCAGAGCCTGTTGGACATGCTCGACTACGAACGCAAGGACCCTGAGGAAGACGCAACTCTCAACATGTGTGTGAGAACACTGGACCGTCTGGATCCACACTGTTTTCCCCGGGCCCCGTTAAGGTCCAAGGGCAGTTACCCTTCTGTTTTCCTGTCCTATAACTGGCCGCCTGTTTGTCCCGATGCAGTGTACTTCCCCACCCTTTCTGCACAGACCCTTGAGGTGAGGTTGCATTAAATATAAATGACAGTCTGTTCTTCCTATAACGCCACTCCTTGTTTTCATGACGCGAATTGGATATGTAACGCGTTGAATGTATGAGGGAACACATCTTTTTAGAACGCGGATGCGAATCGGATATGACGCGATCGAGTGAGCAGAACTACGTCCCAGTGCGAGTACGATGAAGCGGTTGCAACAGCTGCCTCAGCGTAGCATCGAACAGGGCATTGGGATGCTGCTGGATGCTTCTAGATGCTACCCACGCGCCTCAGTCTTTGTTCAGCCCTGCGTACGCATCGTGCGTGTTATCGCGGACTGTGCTTTACCCTATATGATTTATTATTTATTATAACGCGGTTTTTTTCCAGAACGCGGTGTTCTTCAGGAACGCAACTACCGCCACGTTATCTTAGAACACGACTGTATTGTTACATCCAAAAGCGTCACGCTTAATATAACACCAAGTACCACAGGCGTCATTGAGATGGCTACGTTTAAGATGTGCCCTTGTTTAAACGCCCTTTGCTGCTTGGGCTCATAGGAGTAGGGTTGGCTTTCCCCGGGTGTGACTTTCCAGCAGATGTGTTCTAAGAGGTGCTAGTGTCTACAGTACAGTTCCAAGAGCACTGTAGTGTGTACCATTCATTATATCTGTAATGTATCCCATTTGGGATGCTTTTCGGTAAACTCTCAATGCGTGACGGCACGGAATGCGATCTGCAACGATCGTAATTCAGCCTTTTCTGATTGCTTCATCGTGCTCTTGGTTTGTTTATCCGAGTGCTGTGCAGCTGCACGTCTGGACATCATTACCACGTGTTGTTTCTCTCCCCCTGTGGCCGCACCAGTTTTGTGGAAACGCTGATCAAGATCCGGAACCGGCATAACGACGTGGTGCCCACAATGGCCCAGGGCGTGATTGAGTACAAGGACGCCTACGGCGTGGATCCCGTGTCCAGCTCCAACGTTCAGTACTTCCTCGACCGCTTCTACATGAGCCGTATCTCCATCCGCATGCTCATCAACCAGCACAGTGAGGGCTGTCTGAGAGCATGGCCACAGCCTTGTGTGTGTTGGCGCCACGGTGGCGAGATGTTTACTGCCTCGCCTGGTTTGCGGGAGGTCGTGGGTTCGATCCCGACCCTGACGCCTGTTGCTGCTGTATATTTGGAGTTTGCGTGTTTCTCTCTCTCATCATCATCACGGTGGCTGGGAGATGTTAACTACCTCGCATGGTTTACAGGAGGTCGTGGGTTTGATCCTGACCCTGATGCCTGCTTTACATTTGGAGTTTGCATTTTCTCCTGGTGGTCGCGTGAATTTTTGCCCGGATCCTCTGGTTTTCCTTCCACATTAAGAAACATGCGTTTTAGCGTATTTGGCCGCGATAAATTTCTACGTGATCTTTTCTATGGCTGATATAAGTGACGGCTCTCATTTGTGGCGAGATCGCTTCTTGTTTGGTAAAATTTAAAATAGTGCGTGCGTGCGTGTGTGTAGCTAGAGCGGTGGAAAAGCGGATCGCGCACTGCACTACGAATCCGCTCGCGGTCAAAACCAGTGACGATTATCTGAACCGGTCCTGGGCCTCCCCTAGGTCGGCTCGGCCTCAAACGAGCACCCGGTGCGGTGTGTCAACATCGCCACGAGGGAGACAGGTGGCCGAGTGTGGTGCTGGCAACCCACCTCTTTGTGTGCCGTGCTGGCCTTTATAGGTGCTGCTAACAGCACTTCCTCCCACAGTCTGTTCAGGCTATAAAGGAATCTTTGTAGCTGAAGCTGTTGTATGTATGTTGTTTGTATATCTACGGGACCGGAGAACACCAATAGGCGAACAGCACAAAGGGAATGCGAGTATCAAAGTATGAATAGCTCGGGTTGAGCAGTTATATCTGAGAGACCCTTTTTGCCATAACTGCTCAACCCGAGCAATTAATACTTTGGAATTTGTCTTTGTACTGTTCGCCTTCTGCGTTCTCTGGTCTGACACTGGTGAGACGTGTATCAGTTTCAAAGACAATGCGTACAGTATATTATCAGGGCACGTTTGAATGTTATGCCACAAGTACGTGTGGTTAATGCGGACTTGATGCCTTGCAATATGTATCTCTTTGGTGTTTTAACATCTTAACACCTGCTGTTTTATTTCCAGAAAGGGTAAAGCCTATCCTTATGTTGTATGTTGAACTTCTTTCGTACCGTACGTAGCCAGCTGCACTAATCGGAGGTCATGCCATCATGACGTTGGTCTCCGCCCCATCACTGTAAGAGTTTATGGATTGGCTGCTGCTGGCAGTACTACTATCGTTTATAAAAATCACATTCTAACTATTGACTATACAAACTATTTTATATTTTACCAGCTAAAGCCCACTGACCTGTATAACTGTTTTTCAGAAGCGACCTGGCTAGAAATGATAGCTCAACGAAGTGACGTATCATTTGGATATTTATAGTAACCAAATAACTCTGAGATGCATGTTTCTAAATTTCGATTTAAAGCTTTCGTGACTGCAAGGATTCATCTTCTTTGGTTCTTTCGGTAAAGTCACGTAGAATGAGAATAAAATAATAAATTGTTATTTTATTTGATCAATTTATTATTTTATTCTAATTCTACGTGACTTTACCGAAAGAACCAAAGAAGATGTTTCTAAATGTCGAGGGAGAAACCGAAGGAACCCGGAAACAAATCCACGCAATCACGGGGAGAATATGCAAACTTCAAACGTACACACGTTAGGGTTGGGATCAAACCCACGACCTGCTGCACAGCAGGCGAGGAACTTAACATATCACTCTTTGGCTTTTTCGGTAAAGTCACGTATGAATAAGAAATAATAAAATAACATAATAACGTACGACGTTTCGGTTGCAGCACAAGCGGCCATCATCAGGTACAGAAGAGCTAAATTTACGAGAGAGAGGAAACACACAACCCCAGATGTATGTACAGACACCCAAGTAGGGGGGGAATCAAGTCTGAAGTTAACATATCGCCACCTTGGTGCGCAATTAATTCCTGGGGCGGTGACTTGGCCCGGCGGCAGCGCACTCGCTGCTTGTTGCAGAGAGACGTTCGCGGATGATATCCTGGAAGACGCCACCGATTCATACTGCGGGGCCTGTTAACCATAAACGATCTGCCGCCTGCTTCACAGTGGACTTTACAGATCCAATGATGCCACTCGGAGAAGAGTCGGCCATTGTGTACTGGCGTCGCGGTCCAGATTTGCCAAATTAGAAAAAAATTACCCGCAAGCTACTAAGCTGGGAACCGCATGGCAGTCATCGCCTCCCCCTGTGGTATACTTAACAGGACCCTCCTGAAAAAGAGTCTTTAGACCCAAGTGATGTTTTCCAGGGTTAACTAATGTAGGTATACTTAACAGGACCCTCCTGAAAAAGAGTCTTTAGACCCAAGTGATGTTTTCCAGGGTTAACTAATGTAGGTATACTTAACAGGACCCTCCTGAAAAAGAGTCTTTAGACCCAAGTGATGTTTTCCAGGGTTAACTAATGTAGTAATCCCACATAATCAAGGTTTTTGGGTTAGATCGCATAAGTGTAAATGTGTCGTAACCCTCCACCACCCGACAAAGCCAATTAGTTAGGGACTTGTAACGTAAACAATGCGCCAGTTAGTTACTACTTCAGCCCACCGGTGTGTTGGAAAGTAAATCCACAACATTAACAATTTGAGTAGTACGACGTTTCGCTGGTAATTACATCCAGCATCATCGGGCGATTTGCCAGAATGGTGAAGCAATCTTTCTGCTTCTGGTCTTAAAAAGAGCAAGATGACATCATCACTGTGAACCCATCAGTAATAATAATAAATACCCTGTATAGCCAGGTGAGAGGACCTTGGATATTGAAGTTTCTTTTTCAAAGGTGACCTTGGTTAGAAGTCGCATGGAAAATGTAACAGCAGCACCACACAAGTACAGTGCTAAACAGTAACGGCATGCAGACAAAAGCTTTTAGTTTTCACAACACAGTGGTTCCGCAAAGAGCATTGGAAAATAAAATCTTTATTAGTCCGGTAGGCGTTCGAAACACATTTCTGAAACAGTTACATTCTTATCTCCATATATATTGAAGGCAAAGTTATGAATGTGTCTGTTCAAAATGTTTAGCGTACTTCCCGACATGCACCAAACTGCAAATTTGCTATGTGGGTACTTTCCAGACTGTACACCATGCAAAAATTATTAAAATACACTTGTTTTTTTTTTGGGGGGGGGGGGGAGCTCAATGTATATATTTTTTGCACGGCAAGTGAGCTGTGACGTCAAATCTGTCACGTGACCATCGCCTGTGGAAGCGTAACGCATTGTAGCGTAGTGGTTAGCGCGCCGCGCTACAAACCCGGCGACCCAAGTTCGATTCCTGCTCACGGCCACCACCAGTGACGATTATTTGAACCAGTCCTGGGCCTCCCCTAGGTCGACTCAGCCTAAAACGAGTAACTGTTGTGGTGTGAACATCGCCACTGGGGAGACAAAGGCGGCCGGGTGTGGTGAATCCAAAAGGGCTTTAACGACGCGATGGCGTTCCTTCAAAACGTAAAACAAAAAACAAAGACTCGACAAGCATCGCAATATTAACAAAAGTTTACTCAGTGGGTGAATGGTGGCTCATTTTGAAGTGGCAGTACGCGACTTGGTTTAAAGTCGCGACGTAACCTGGGGCACGCGTTCAGAATCGACGTTGACCCCCCCCCCCCCCCCCCCCCGGGGTCGGTCAATCGTCAACCCTCGGGTAGCTTTTTTGCTGGCCACCCTGTACTTGGGGAAAAACAAATTTGAGTTAGCCTGACTCTGCTTGCGAGACACCGAATGTCAAAACTGTTCCAGAGTTTGCTTGTGTTGAACCAATTACGGATGAAAATATTGATTGCCAGAAGGCCATAGGGTGGCTGACGGCTGGGAGGGAGGTTTGTTCGTTTTGTTACTCTCAACGTTGCCAGAAATTGACAAAATTGGTCAACAGCCAGTTGTGTTGGTGAGCCGTGAATACATTCGAAAGAGTGGTGCAATGAGCTGTAGTTGTGCAATGGGGAGTTCCGGGGACCACTTCCCATGACCTCTTCACACTACCAGCAGTATTTGGATCCCTGGCTGGGAACCATTGACCTGGGAGATGCATGTTGTGGACAAATACAGCCGAGGTGGCGATGATTAACCGTGCACTCGAAGCGGTGATGATTAACTCTGCACTCTTAAGAGACGATGATGGTGATGATGGCGATTGGTTAAGAGGCTAAGCGGTGACTGTTAACTATTCTCCAGCACTGCTGTTTGGAGGAGGCGTGAACCCCGCTCACCCCAAGCACATCGGCAGCATCGACCCGAACTGCGACGTGGTTGGCGTCATCAAAGGTGAGCACTCAACAGCAGCCGCCAATGCCGCGGAGCGAGCGACGAATACACACCGTCACCACTGCTAGCCGTTGGATCACAAAACATTCGTTTCCTTTCGCATTTATGGCTGCAGTTACTGATGATGTCAGGGCAGCGCAATCTGTTGTCAGCAGAGTGCATTTGAAATCTGTTCTCATTCCCAATCGGCTGCGATGGTTTAAAAATACGAGCAGTGTTGTATGGCCTCGGCGCGCTCAGCCACAGTTGAGCGAGTCGGTGCGAGCGAGTCGGTGCGAGTGTGTGTGCGAGTCAGTGAATGAGTGTGTGAGTGTGTGTGGGAGTGTAGGTGCTTGCTAACAGCACTCGCCCCAGCGGTCTGTGCTGGTTATACGGGGGATCTATGTCTTTGTGTGATTGTGTGTCAGGGGTAGTGCAGCCGCTCCGCTACGAACCCGGCTACCCGAATTCGATTCCTGCTCATGACCACCAACACCAGTGACGATTATCTGAACCGGTCCTTGGCCTCCCCTAGGTCAACTCAGCCTCAAATCAGTACCTGGTGTGGTGTGTAAGCATCGCTACTGGGGAGACAAAGGCGGTCGGGCGTGGTGTTTGCCACCCACCCCCTCGTGTGCCGTGCCAGCCTTCATAGGCGCTCACTTAAAGCACTTGTCCCAACAGTCTGTTCAGACTATACAGGGGATCTTTATCTTTGCTTTTTGCGTGTGTGAGTGTGCCCACATTATGCAAACATTTGCTATCACTGCCCAGTGGGGTGTTTGTTGGAATGCCAAACTGTAACCTTTGGAAGACTTTGATGGAGAGTGACAAGGGGTAATGTAATGTCATTTGTAGATTGTATCCCCAACAGGTTTTAAGGGTTGGCCATTTCGTGTAAATCCCACGAATACATTTATCAGCACCAAGTGCAATAGAAGAAATAAAATTGGGCGAACAAACTGAAGTTAATTCTCAACTGTTCTCAGATATTCTGTCACCGTATAAAATAATTTCACCTTCTGCAGATGCCTATGAGAATGCCAAGATGCTCTGTGACCAGTATTACTTGGCATCCCCCGAACTGGAAATCACCGAGTGCAATGGTATGTCCATCACCTCCTGGAATGTTTACACTATTTTTTTATTTTATTTTATCAAGTAAGGCTACCACTGAACTATGTAACGCTTTTTGTTTTCAAAAGTGACCTGGCTATTACGAATGAGATCGCAACGAAGTGGCTTATCGTGTGGAAATTTATAGCAGCGGCCAAATATTCTCAACGCGTGTTGTTGATTCTAAATGTGGAGGGAATAACTGGGGAGGACCCGGAGAGACATCCACGAAACCACGAGGAGAACATGCAGATTTAAAATATACAGGATGGTGTCAGAGTAGGGATCGAACCCACGGTGGTGAGATGTTAACTACCTCGTCCACCGTACATAGCCCACCGCACTTAGCCCACCGCACATATCAGAGGTGCAGTGGAAGGGCAACAAACTAAACATTAAAAGCAGTCCTCAAGTTTTCAATCGAGATTTAAAATTGCATAGCTCCTAATATCGGAAGGAAGAGCTTTCCAGACGGCCGCAGAAGCGCATCTGAAAGCGCACGATGCGGTGACCGTCTTTGTTCGATGGCTTAGCCAAAAGCCGCTGCTCGTTGACGAGATCAGCAAGGTATTGTGGTTTACATTGTGGCAAGCGCCTTGCGTGTAATGAGCGCGGCCTGATAATAATGCATTCGTTCAGGAACCATAAGCCAATGCAGCTCGGTGAGCACTGGACGGACGCGTACTTTTGTGTGGCACCAACTTTTAAGCGCCTGGTTTCACGTATTTCACAATTCGCCAAGCTAACTGGAAACATACTTGGCTGGGATTGTTGTGCACTTGACACCATTGCGCAACAAACGCCACCGATAGCAAAACAACTGTAAATCGTGCGGGCCTGCCTCAAATCGGCGAACCGCGTGCATGTCCTTCATAATAAAGGTTTTTGGGTTAGATCGCGTTATTTATAAATGTGTCGTAACCCTCCACCACCCGACACGCGTGCATGTCCGTGCGTATGCACCGTACGTGGCCGACCGTGCGAATCGGAGGTGCTAATCCGTGTGCAACGCTGGAGCGTTACACGCTGGGTGGATAGCGCGCTGCGTGCAGTGTTGACGCGAGTGTGCGTGCGTGCCTGCGTGCGTGTGTTTCCAGCCCAGACGCCCAAACAGGCCATCCACGTGGTGAATGTGCCTTCCCACCTGTACCACATGCTGTTTGAACTTTTCAAGGTAAAGCTGCTGCTGCTGCTGCTGTGACTCTCTCTCTCTCTTAGAATGGCCAGATGATTTCTTTGAAACCGGAGTGACACTGGGTTGGCTGTGCCCGTGAACTGTCCTGGGCTCACGTTCGTCTCCTGTTGTCTACGCGTGCGCCATGTGTTGTGTATCTTGCACGTGTTGTGTATTATGCTCGTGTGTTGTGTATCGTGCTGGTGTGTTGTGTATCGTGCTGGTGTGTTGTGTATCGTGCTCGTGTGTTGTGTATCGTGCTCATGTTGTGTACTGGGATCATCTGTTATGTAATGTGCTCATGTGTTGTGTTGGGATCATGTGTTATGTAATGTGCTCATGTGTTGTGTATCTTGCACGTGTTGTGTATTATGCTCGTGTGTTGTGTATCGTGCTGGTGTGTTGTGTATTGTGCTCATGTTGTGTACTGGGATCATGTGTTATGTAATGTGCCCATGTGTTGTGTATCTTGCACGTGTTGTGTATTATGCTCGTGTGTTGTGTATCGTGCTGGTGTTTTGTGTATCGTGCTGGTGTGTTGTGTATTGTGCTCATGTTGTGTACTGGGATCATGTGTTATGTAATGTGCTCATGTGTTGTGTATCTTGCACGTGTTGTGTATTATGCTCGTGTGTTGTGTATCGTGCTGGTGTTTTGTGTATCGTGCTGGTGTGTTGTGTATTGTGCTCATGTTATGTACTGGGATCATGTGTTATGTAATGTGCTCATGTGTTGTGTATCTTGCACGTGTTGTGTATTATGCTCGTGTGTTGTGTATCGTGCTGGTGTTTTGTGTATCGTGCTGGTGTGTTGTGTATTGTGCTCATGTTATGTACTGGGATCATGTGTTATGTAATGTGCTCATGTGTTGTGTATCTTGCACGTGTTGTGTATTATGCTCGTGTGTTGTGTATCGTGCTGTGTATCGTGCTCATCTTCTGTATGTATGTTGAACTTCTTTTGCACCGTACGTAGCCAACCTTGCTAAATGGGAGGTGCGGGGGAAAGACAACAACCTAAGCTGGCTGTGGTGCGTGTGCCGGATGCTGAGTACAAGCTATGGGTATGCGTTGTGGAGCGGTGGTGTAGCGGTGGGAGCGGTGGTGTAGCAGTTAGCGCGCTGCGCGACAAAGCCGGCGACCCGAGTTCAATTCCTGCTCACGACCAATAGTAGTGGCGAATATTCTAACCAGTCCTGGGCCTCCCCTAGATCGACTCAGCCTTAAATGAGTACCCGGTGCGATGTGTAAATGTCGTCACTCGGGAGACAAAGGCGGCCGGGCGTGATGCTGGCCACCAACCCCCTCGTGTGCCGTGCCGGCCTTCATAGGCGCTCGCTAACAGCACTTGCCCCTACAGTCTGTTAAAGCGATACGAGGGATCTTTGTCTTTTGTATAAGCCGTGTATGTGCCCCGCATGCGCTGTGCGTGTGCTGCGTACATGTTAAGTGCCGTGCGTGCTCTGTGTGCCGTGGCAGAACGCGATGCGTGCCACGGTGGAGCACCACGCGGCCGACACGCTGGTGTACCCCCCCATCGAGGTGCTGGTGGCGCTGGGCAAGGAGGACCTCACCATACGGGTACTCCCCGCGACAACTCCTGCGATGTATCTTAAGTCTTGCCGCCGCCCCCCTCCCCCCCCCCCCCTCTCTATAGCAATGTGGAATTTCCACCGTTGGCTCGGAGCCACAAATTTGTAGATGAGCCCCACCTCGGGCTGCATTCTATTCATAGCCCGTTGGACGTGCACAGTTATTATTATTATTATTACCTCCCCCGCAAGGCTGTCCGGGGACTGTCAAGGTGTTCTCACACATTCGCCTTGTTCGGCCGAGAGGTAATCCGAGGGCAACAGCGGATTTGACGAACCCCGAGCGGCCCCGTGGTGAATGTGCGAGGCAACGGGACGGCGTTGGGGTGGGCGGGGGGGGGCTCTCGAGTGGCGACGGGCAACCCAGACGAGTCGGCGGGCCGACACGTGCGGCCCTCCTTCGTCTCAGCGGGCCGGCGTGTGACCCCCACGCGTCGCCCTAGACCCAGGGGTCGGCAACCTGCGTGCGGCTCTTGAAGGGCCGCGCTTCGTGCCGTTATTATTCACGAAAGGACCGCGGTCACTCCGTTCGCATCGCGTTGCGGAAATCTTGAAGTATTGAGTTGTTGTTTTTTTTTTGGGACCGAATTTGACAAAAAACGGCTCCTCTTGTTGCTGTTGTTTTGGTTGCTGACCCCCTGCCTCGAGGCCACCGCGAGTGGCTCCACGGGACGCATGCCACCCGCGGGCTGCCGGTTGCCCACCGCTGCTCTAGAACACCCCTTCTAGAGGGTGTTTTTGGTTTGCTCCTCCACGTTTAACCAGACGTTTTTGATGAGGTGTACCCAAACTCTACATCCGCCCCCCCCCCCCCCCCCCCCACCGATAAGCGACCTGCCAATCGATGGTTATAGACTCGTTTAGTCTGCTGAGTGGCACGAGCATCGTGGGTTGTGGGGTTGTCACCGCCGCATCGGAAGATGGAATCGAACTGCCGACCTCTGGATTACAAGTCCGGTGGTGCTGACAGTTGCACCGCGGCGGCACCGATACAGTAAATACTCCGATTGATTCGCGGCACGAATGCTCGCAATGTAGGCAGGACCTGGTTGGTGTTTAAAGTTACAGCCCCTCCCCTCCGGCGTATTGCAGTTGTGGGGTGTGGAATGACCTCCATTGCCCTGGGTTGACAGGCCCACGCAGGACGCCTGATGGCACCCCGCCCGCGTTTGCCGTGAATAAATAAATTAGAATACACTGCCGGATGTTGCGGCTATACCTGCAGTGTGCAGTGTGACTCACCGAGTCTCGGAGACTCTCCTTCTGGTGGGTCCAGCTAAGTTTTCGCGAAGGTTGCTAAGGGTTTCCAAATGAAGTAATTTGCAAGTAGTTTTTTTTTACTCGACAAATTTAGATCACGCCATTCTCCCTCCCTCCCTCCTTGGAATTACACCACGGGACCTGTAACGTGCCCTGTGAAGCACACTGCGAGTATTTTATGCTTAATGCACCCGTAGCATTAACCACGGCAGCCTGGCGGATTCGAACGGTGAACCTCTGCAACAGGGGGCGAATGCGCTGCCTTCGTACGCACATATATGTACGTTGAACTTCTTCCACATCGTACGTAGCCAACCGTGCTGATCGGAGGTGTGGCCTCGTAACAGGCCCCGAACTAAGGATAGATGACCTTTACCTGTGACCAGGTAAGGACTAATTCAGACCAAGTTTCAGGTGTACTTTATATATTCTTAGCTCTTTCGGTAAAGTCCCTTCAACGTGACTTTACCGAAAGAGCTAAGAATATGAATTACTGCAGTCACGAAAGCTTTAAATCAAAGGTGTACTTTGTTTAACCGGGCGGTGAGAGCTCGAGGGAGCAGTATTGTCTCATTTGCAAGAGTGACCTGGGGTGTTGGACTGCCAGTCGGTGGCGGTGATTGCTGTGTACAATGTACAATCAAGAAAGGCACAATCCTACGACCACCAGTCTCTCGCTGTTTACTACAAATCGCACACGTGTGTTTCTTTCGCCAACTACATCTGTATGGAATTTACATCTTTTAATGCAAAAAAAAAAATGGGCAGACACAATTTCTACTTTCTGTATCTGTCCCTCCACGTCCAAAATAATGGCGTTTGTTTACACATCTCATTAGCCACAGGGCCTTATGATTTATTTTTCATCAGCGTTGGTTCAACACGAGCCCAACTCTGCACTGATTTCGACATTCAGTGTCTCCTCGGCTTGTACCGAACGCTGGCGAGCGGCCCAGCGCGTACACAGCAATGCGGCCGCCCCCGTCAGCCGTGAGTCCTCGTCTGCCACGAAGCTACACAGCGCGTGACGATGCCACGCGACGAGCGGAGATGTTTGGACGGTGACACCGCCCCGAGTGACCTGGCTTCGTCACCGTGGCCGCGTTGCCGTGTGCCCTGACAGATGAGCGACAAGGGAGGCGGGGTGCCTCTCCGAAAAATCGACCGGCTGTTCAACTACATGTACTCCACCGCGCCCCGACCACGCATGGACACCTCCCGTGCTGCCCCCCTGGTACGGAAGCCGAGCGGCGGGCGCCATAGCCCGGTCACGTGATCTGGCGGTTGCCGCATGCGTTTGGCAGTGGTGGACACACGCAAATCGACGGAGCGCGACTTGGTGCGTTCATCAAGAGCGCTGCACAAAACGGAATATCATAAAGTGTCATCGGCCATGTTTCGGGGCAGTGGCCCTTCTTCATCGCGTTTGCATCACGCGCTTTCGGATGCGCTTATGTGGCCGTCTGGAAAGCTCTTCCAATATTAGGAAGCCTCTGGAGCTATGCACTTTAACCTTGAGATTGAAAACTCATTTATTTAAAATAGCTTTTTGTCTTGAGTTCCCCCCGTACCTCCGATGATCACGGTTGGCTACGTACAGTGCGAAATAAGTAAAACATACATACAGACGTACATACAAAAAGGCCATTAAGATGGAGTGAACAACTGTTGGAGATTACAAAATAGACCTTGTCCTCCATCGGGCTCTGATGATAAAAACAAATATTTTAAGGATGTTTCCCGATGACCAGTACTTCATTGGTATGTGCATAGTTATTCATGAGTGGATACTAGGTAACAGACAAACTCGTAACACATCAAACATTTATATTATGCACAATTCATTTGCATTCAAAGTAAAATAACCAGCATTTGCGACTCATTTTATCCTGGGTAACCAGTCTCCATTCAGTCTCTTTCCGTACAGAGACCCCTTGTCTCCAGCCACACGGATCTAGCATGGCCAATTACAAAGCACGGACAAACTGGCACACACATTCCAGGCTAATTCAGGCCCCCCTACAGTGATTGTGACCCGTGGCAGCTCCCGCCGTGCTGCAGCGGGGCTGAGAGATATTCACGGAACGCAGATCCCCAGCGTGCTGCAGGGCAGCGGCCTTTTTTTTGCGCGTGTGGCGTTCAGGCTGGCTTTGGATACGGGCTGCCCCTCTCCCGGCTCTACGCTCGCTACTTCCAGGGGGACATTCACCTGTACTCCATGGAGGGGCACGGCACCTCCGCCCTTGTCTACCTGAAGGTGAGCTGGCTGCTCTGAGATCGGTGGGGGAGCTGCGATGGACTAGGAGGCCGCCGTTACCGGGACGACGTGACGTCGTCGTGTGGAAGCTTGGCAGTATATTACGGCAGGGCGTTGAGTTTTTTTGAGATCCGGCCAAGGGCACGGGGTGCCGCGACGGTGAGATGTTAACAACCTCGCCTGGTGTACAGGAGGTCGTGCGTTCGACCCTGACGCCTGTTTTATATTTGCGGTTTGAGTGTCTCTCTCCCCGTGGTCGCGTGGAGTTTTCTCCGGATCCTCCGGTTTTTCCCTCCACATTTAGAAACATGGGTTGGAAATTGGCTGCTATAAATCTCCACATGATAAGCTGCCACTTAATTGGACTATCATTTGTGGCCAGGTCGCTTCTGAAAAAGAGTGTGGTGGCGTGTGGCCCGTCGCCTAAAAATCAACGGAAGGAATCGCTGTTAATGAGAAAAGAAAATAATCATGAGCATAATTAAATATTCTCCACAACAACACAAATGATTACTTTGAGTTGTGTATTGTGTAGTTTTGTGTTGAACTAGCATCCATGTCTAACAGGGTCCATGCCTTTTAACACCAACATTGGTTACATTTTAATGTGCAATTAAATTTAGGGACTGTGAGTCGTCTTGATGTGGTCTGGGACTGTTGTTGTTGCTGCTTTTGCTGCCTTGCCCGAACTTACATTTGGTGTTGACGGATCAGCAGGAATGTACGTGCTGATGAAATGTGTCCTTCTGTACGTTATTTATTTACCTTTAGTGACTTGCTCTCCTTTTTCTCTTACTTTGCACTCCTGTCGTCTCTTCGTTACTTTTTGTTGTAACTTGCCGACCCGGACATCCGCGGGGAAAAAAACAGCTTCATAGCTCATCGGATTTACCCTCCTCCGGTCTGAATAAAGATGCTGATCGTGTTGAAGCGGTGCCGCCGAAAAAAGATGCGCTCCCACCGAGGCCGCAGTGCCGCCGTGCGACGGAAAGAATTGTCCCGACCCACTTGCTTCTCTGGACGTGAACTCCTGGACATCTGCGGAGAAAGAGCTTCACGGCTCGTCGGATTCCCCCAGTATAAATAATCTTGCCGATTGTGTAACACGCGTGCGGTGCTGCGCTGCCGGTCGCGATCCGTAACCCGGCGGGCGCCTCGTCCCATGTATGCGGTGAAGCGGAGGGCGGCCGGCCTGTGTGCGTGTGTGTGTGCGTGTGCGTGCGTGTGTGTGCGTGTGGTAGTGTAGCGGTTAGCGTGCTGCGCTATGAACCTGGCGACCCGGGTTCGATTCCCGCTCACGGCCAACACCAGTGACGATTATCTGAACCGGTCCCGGGCCTCCCCTAGGTCGACTCAGCCTCAAATGAGTACCTGGTGCCGTGTGCAAACATCGCCACTAGGGAGACAAAGGCGGTCGGGCGTGGTACTGGCCACCCACCCCCTCGTGTACCGTTCCGGCCTTCATAGGTGCTCGCTAACAGCACTTGCCCCTACAGTCTGTTAAGGCTATATGGGGGATCTTTGTTATCTTTGTTTGTGTGCGTGCGCAGGCGCTGTCGAGCGAGTCGGTGGAGCGGCTGCCCGTCTACAACAAGTCGGCGTGGCGCCACTACCACGAGGCGCACGAAGCCGACGACTGGTGCGTGCCGAGCAGCGAGCCGCGCAACATGGCCACCTACAAGCCGCGCTAGGGGCCGGCGGGCGCCCCGTCGCCCGGCACCGCTCGCCCGAGCCGTGGGCCCCGTCGGCGTGCGGTCATCTCCAGACACTCGCCCACACCCAGCGACGTGGCACCCCCCCCCACTCCCAACAATCGCCCGCATGGGCGCGGTGCACGCTGTGGTTGCCAGGGCGCGCGGTGGTTGCCAGGGCGTGCGGTGGTTGCCAGGGCGCGCGGTGGTTGCCAGGGCGCGCGGTGGTTGCCAGGGCGCGCGGTGGTTGCCAGGGCGTGCGGTGGTTGCCAGAGCGCGCGGTGGTTGCCAGGGCGTGCGGTGGTTGCCAGGGCGTGCGGTGGTTGCCAGGGCGCGCGGTGGTTGCCAGGGCGCGCGGTGGTTGCCAGGGCGCGCGGTGGTTGCCAGGGCATGCGGTGGTTGCCAGGGCGCGCGGTGGTTGCCAGGGCGCGCGGTGGTTGCCAGGGCGCGCGGTGGTTGCCAGGGCGTGCGGTGGTTGCCAGGGCGTGCGGTGGTTGCCAGGGCGCGCGGTGGTTGCCAGGGCGTGCGGTGGTTGCCAGGGTGTGCGGTGGTTGCCAGGGCGCGCGGTGGTTGCCAGGGCGTGCGATCCTGCGGGTCTGTTGGTGCGCTGATTTCGCTCCCAAAGGTCACGGGGTAGTAATATATTTTGGTGTGAGTCTGTGTGAATATAGAACTGTGAATAGTACAGAACTCTATAGAGTATAGTATCAAAACGTGCAAGGACAAGATCCCAGCATTTCCTTTTCAACGTGAAATGATCACGTACGTCCACGCACTCATTTCATTAATTTCAAAGGGGGGGTCCCGGTTTCTCACTCGTGCACGCCCTTTCGTATGCAAGCGGCAGTCACGGGGGGGGGGTTTAGGGTCCCCGTCGCTCGCCGCGTCCATCCTACAGATGCGGTAAGAGGTGGAGAGGGGAGAGGACCTGCGGTCATTTCTTCAGGAGCGTCCGGATCGCCACGCGAGTCCCATTCTTCGTGAAATTTTCGCTCGACGATTTAAAAAAAAAAAATGCGGGCAATGCGCGGACCCCGTCACGTCGCGTCGTCGTTGCGACACACGTAATACACACCGTCAGCATAAACTCAACAGACCCTTGACAATGTTTTATTCCGCAGAATCCGTTTAGCTCTCGAATCTGCAGAATCTGTTTATATCTCGAATCTGCAGAATTTGTTTGGCTCCCGAATCTGCAGAATCTGTTTCTCTAGAATCTGGAGAATCAGTTTCTCTAGAATCTGCAGAATCTGTTTCTCTAGAATCTGGAGAATTTGTTTCTCTAGAATCTACATAATCAGTTTCTCTAGAATCTGGAGAATCAGTTTCTCTAGAATCTGGAGAATCAGTTTCTCTAGAATCTGGAGAATCAGTTTCTCTAGAATCTACAGAATCAGTTTCTCTAGAATCTGGAGAATCTGTTTCTCTAGAATCTACAGAATCAGTTTCTCTAGAATCTACAGAATCAGTTTCTCTAGAATCTGGAGAATCTGTTTCTCTAGAATCTGCAGAATCAGTTTCTCTAGAATCTACAGAATCAGTTTCTCTAGAATCTACAGAATTTGTTTCTCTAGAATCTGGAGAATCAGTTTCTCTGGAATCTACAGAATCAGTTTCTCTAGAATCTGGAGAATCAGTTTCTCTAGAATCTACAAAATCAGTTTCTCTAGAATCTGGAGAATCGGTTTCTCTAGAATCTACAGAATTTGTTTCTCTAGAATCTGGAGAATCTGTTTCTCTAGAATCTGCAGATTCAGTTTCTCTAGAATCTACAGAATCAGTTTCTGTAGAATCTACAGAATCAGTTGCTCTAGAATCTACAGAATCTGTTTCTCTAGAATCTGGAGAATCTGTTTCTCTAGAATCTGCAAAATCAGTTTCTCTAGAATCTACAGAATCAGTTTCTCTAGAATCTGGAGAATCAGTTTCTCTAGAATCTACAGAATCTGTTTCTCTAGAATCTGGAGAATAATTTTCTCTAGAATCTACAGAATCAGTTTCTCTAGAATCTGGAGAATCAGTTTCTCTAGAATCTACAGAATCAGTTTCTCTAGAATCTACAGAATCAGTTTCTCTAGAATCTGGAGAATCTGTTTCTCTAGAATCTGCAGATTCAGTTTCTCTAGAATCTACAGAATCAGTTTCTCTAGAATCTACAGAATCAGTTTCTATAGAATCTACAGAATCTGTTTCTCTAGAATCTGGAGAATCTGTTTCTCTAGAATCTGCAGAATCAGTTTCTCTAGAATCTACAGAATCAGTTTCTCTAGAATCTGGAGAATCAGTTTCTCTAGAATCTACAGAATCTGTTTCTCTAGAATCTGGGGAATCAGTTTCTCTAGAATCTACAGAATCAGTTTCTCTAGAATCTGGAGAATCAGTTTCTCTAGAATCTACAGAATCAGTTTCTCTAGAATCTGGAGAATCGGTTTCTCTAGAATCTACAGAATTTGTTTCTCTAGAATCTGGAGAATCTGTTTCTCTAGAATCTGCAGATTCAGTTTCTCTAGAATCTACAGAATCAGTTTCTGTAGAATCTACAGAATCAGTTGCTCTAGAATCTACAGAATCTGTTTCTCTAGAATCTGGAGAATCTGTTTCTCTAGAATCTGCAGAATCAGTTTCTCTAGAATCTACAGAATCAGTTTCTCTAGAATCTGGAGAATCGGTTTCTCTAGAATCTACAGAATCTGTTTCTCTAGAATCTGGAGAATAATTTTCTCTAGAATCTACAGAATCAGTTTCTCTAGAATCTGGAGAATCAGTTTCTCTAGAATCTACAGAATCAGTTTCTCTAGAATCTACAGAATCAGTTTCTCTAGAATCTGGAGAATCTGTTTCTCTAGAATCTGCAGATTCAGTTTCTCTAGAATCTACAGAATCAGTTTCTCTAGAATCTACAGAATCAGTTTCTATAGAATCTACAGAATCTGTTTCTCTAGAATCTGGAGAATCTGTTTCTCTAGAATCTGCAGAATCAGTTTCTCTAGAATCTACAGAATCAGTTTCTCTAGAATCTGGAGAATCAGTTTCTCTAGAATCTACAGAATCTGTTTCTCTAGAATCTGGAGAATCAGTTTCTCTAGAATCTACAGAATCAGTTTCTCTAGAATCTGGAGAATCAGTTTCTCTAGAATCTACAGAATCAGTTTCTCTGGAATCTGGAGAATCAGTTTCTCTAGAATCTGGTAGCTGTCGGCGCAGTCGAAATTCAGACGGGTCTTGCTTCGTCTTACAAACGTCGAGTTTGAGGCAGAACTTGGGGGGGGGGGGGGATTTTAGACACCGAAAGATGGCGATCTCTGGACGGTCACTGTTCACTGTCCGATATACTGCATCAAACCGAACATATAGTTTTATTTCATTACAATTTAACCAGTTTATTTTAAGAATATGAAAAATATATACACACACACGTAAGATTTAGGTTTTCATCCAACCATTTCAAATATTGCGAAGATTAAAGTTTTTAATTATTACTGATAAGCTGTCACGTGATGTATTCTCAACTCTGTAGGGTTGCAGTTGAAACCACGGCTGACTTCGTTGCTCTTGCCACTTTGTACATCTCGATGGCATCAGGTTAGTAGAGCCTTGTGGTTGGGTCATAAGCATTTTAATCTGGCGAAAACAACGCCGAGTACTGTGTTGCTCCTAATGGGACCTCTCTTGCCAGTCGGTCTAACACTGAGACTAAGCTCTTAAAAAAGCTGTCTCTGGTGTGGACCAATCAGTTTGCATATACAGTGGTACCCCGGTATACGTCGCTAATTCGTTCCAGAAGGTAGGAGGACTTACACCGACAATGACGAATACCAAACGAATTTTTCCCATAAGAAATCAAGGGAATGGAAATAATCCGTTCCGGAGTATAAGAAATGATATTTTATATGGCATATTATACATTAATGGGGTTGTATAAGATAATGTAGACACCGCTTATTATTACTAAAATGCGTAACTTACATTAGAATAAACGCACGTGAAAATTTCACGGAGTTCTAGCAAGGGTTGTGCACTGAACGAGATGTACAGGCAGACCGAGGAGCGGCGCTTCGTCTCAGTCGTGAACGGGGTCTGCGCGTTGACGCGGTGACTCATCCCCGACCCATACAAGTTCGAGCAAGCGAGGCGTCGTATCCCAAGACATTTTTTTAATCTCGTCAAAAACACGACGTGTACCAAATTCGACGTATTCCAAAGCGGCCGTATACCGAGGTGGGACTGTACTACCCGGACCATGTTTTGTTTTTGCTTGCATGTTCACCACAAGTATATCTGTGTTTGGTGTTTTCACATCGTAACGCCACCTGTTGCATTGCCAGAAAGGGTCACACCTGTTCTCATGTGTTGCTCTCATTTTAATCCGAGTCTCGAATTATTGCGCCGGTTTTTTTGTTTGTCGTCGCAATGAAATCATTTCCAGCCTCCCTTCTCGTGTTCTGAGTCTTGGTGTTTCGGTGAAGGGCCCCGTCCTTGTGGCGAGCCCACTTGCCCAGTGTTTTGTGACCCCCCCCGCTCCCTGCCTTGCCTTTCGGACTCGTGGCGTTTGATATGAGCAGCCCCAACCGCGGCATCGAGAGACGTTTACCGCGAGAAATGGTGAAGAGAACGAATCGCTGTCCGTGGGAAGGGCCGTGATCGTTAGGGCAGCGCTGGGTGGACAAAGTTCATTGCAGCTGCCTATCATGGCACGGGCAGTCGAGTTTGGATTTTAGTGTTGGCCTCCTGTGGTTTTAAACGCGAACAGTCATTTAGCTTTCTCCCCCCCCCTCTACTCCCGCGTCTTTGGCATCATGTTTGGGCAAATTTGTGTCGTCGATTGATATTCAAACAGAATCCCGACTGCCCTGCAGGGTGCTTTGTGTCTACACCAGCGAGGTACAGAGAATACCCCAGTAGGATCCTGTGGGAGCTCGTGTTTGGATGGAGCGGTTGTGATGACGACGATGACGGGTGACATGTCCCGGCCACGCTGGGACTCCTGCATTCCATCCCTTGACTCGGTGACATTGCTGCGGTTTTACTGCACCGTGATAACGTTCAGTTGGTTTTGTGTAATTGAAACACGTTCATTTTATTTAAATGAACGTTGCCGGGTGATATGCTCGTCGTCAGTTCAGGGGACATTTATACTGGTAGGAACGAAGTTGTAAACTGAGTGTACCAGCCTGCAATAGATTAATGTGTCCGTCCGTCCCCTTTCAATTCTTTAACGAAGTGAAATCTCGTGCTGTTGGGTGTAAAAAAAATTCCAATGTTCCTACAAGCCCACCCTGCAAGGACCTGTTTTTATTGCAGATTGAGGGCAGTGGGAGGCTGCCGCCAGCAGCCTACGAAGACAAATGTGGGTGAACGAGAGCGTGAACAGATCCCCTGGTTTGCTCGCTCTACAATTTGATTCGTGAACATTAAAACGTTTCAATTCGTTCATGAAAAAGTTGGAGTAAAATTTATGGAACTTTTCCCAGCTTGCACCCGAACCGGCTCCTACCCCCCCCCCATCCCGACCTGTTCTCTGGCGTCACGTGGACACGAGCAATAGTCGCCGATGTCACCAATAACAGAGCACGTGGGGAGTGTTTGTAATTGTATTCTTTTGCGGAATTTTTTTTTTACTTTGACAAAGAATCGTCGGTTTTGGTTAAAAAGTATTGAAAAATATGAGTTAACTTTCAATAGAAAATTGATTCCTATGATGCATTAGGGGTTAGGATGCTATCTATACATTGAAATAAATTGGGAAATTCACGTTTTTGACCCGAAAAAGACTCGGCATGCACTATCTACTGGTGGGCTAGACTACCACTAGTACACCACTCCTACTGCGTGCTCTATCTACTGCTGGGCTAGACTACCACTAGTACACCACTCCTACTGCGTGCTCTATCCACTGCTGGAGTAGACTACCACTAGTACACCACTCCTACTGCGTGCTCTATCCACTGCTGGGCTAGACTACCACAAGTACACCACTCCTACTGCATGCTCTATCTACTGCTGGGCTAGACTACCACTAGTACACCACTCCTACTGCATGCTCTATCTACTGCTGGGCTAGACTACCACTAGTACACCACTCCTACTGCGTGCTCTATCCACTGCTGGGCTAGACTACCACTAGTATACCACTCCTACTGCATGCTCTATCCACTGCTGGGCTAGACTACCACTAGTACACCACTCCTACTGCATGCTCTATCCACTGCTGGGCTAGACTACCACTAGTACACCACTCCTACTGCGTGCACTATCTACTGCTGGGCTAGACTACCACTAGTACACCACTCCTACTGCATGCTCTATCCACTGCTGGACTAGACTGCCACTAGTACACCACTCCTACTGCGTGCACTATCTACTGCTGGGCTAGACTACCACTAGTACACCACTCCTGCTGCGTGCTCTATCTACTGCTGGGCTAGACTACCACTAGTACACCACTCCTACTGCGTGCTCTATCTACTGCTGGGCTAGACTACCACTAGTACACCACTCCTACTGCATGCTCTATCCACTGCTGGACTAGACTGCCACTAGTACACCACTCCTACTGCGTGCACTATCTACTGCTGGGCTAGACTACCACTAGTACACCACTCCTGCGTGCTCTATCTACTGCTGGGCTAGACTACCACTAGTACACCACTCCTACTGCATGCTCTATCTACTGCTGGGCTAGACTACCACTAGTACACCACTCCTGCATGCTCTATCTACTGCTGGGCTAGACTACCACTAGTACACCACTTCTACTGCATGCTCTATCTACTGCTGGGCTAGACTACCACTAGTACACCACTCCTACTGCGTGCACTATCCACTGCTGGGCTAGACTACCACTAGTACACCACTCCTGCATGCTCTATCTACTGCTGGGCTAGACTACCACTAGTACACCACTCCTACTGCATGCTTTATCCACTGCTGGGCTAGACTACCACTAGTACACCACTCCTGCTGCATGCTCTATCCACTGCTGGGCTAGACTACCACTAGTACACCACTCCTGCTGTATGCTCTATCCACTGCTGGGCTAGACTACCACTAGTACACCACTCCTGCTGCGTGCTCTATCTACTGCTGGGCTAGACTACCACTAGTACACCACTCCTGCTGCATGCTCTATCCACTGCTGGGCTAGACTACCACTAGTACACCACTCCTGCTGCGTGCTCTATCTACTTGTGGGCTAGACTGCCACTAGTACACCACTCCTACTGCGTGCTCTATCTACTGCTGGGCTAGACTACCACTAGTACACCACTCCTACTGCGTGCATTTAGAGGCTTACCCCCCTTTTCTCTCCGCCTGATGACGACCGCTTGTGTTGCGATTGAAATACCCAAAGCATATCGGCATAAGTTGTTTTTGGCCAAATATGCCCCAATTGATTTTGCGTTATGTATCAATAAAAAGTGAATTGCTCCATCGTGTTGAGGTTCACAGTGCTCTGTATCCAAGGAAATTGGGAAATTCCACGTAAAAAAAAATCGCTCGGGAAAAGAAAAGTCGTGGTGACGAGTGTGTCATCTGTGACGTTTAATAAAGAACAAATCGTGACAAGTATTTGTCGCGGTTTTGTTTTATTGGACGCCGCTGTTTCAAACGTCACAAAGTCCTCTAACACACTTGGAGGATGGAAAAAAAAACCACGCGGAATTCCGTGAAAGCGAGAGCTGACACCACTCGTGTCTGCCCGGGTTGTGTTTGGCGAGTCTCCTGCTAACACTTCATCCCACGCGGGACAGCGGCGGCGGCGGCGGCAAGAACCACCCCGCAAGTCGACAGACATCCGTTGAAGAGCGCCCGCAAGCGCCCGCGGACCCGGCCAGCGGTGGACGGCGTCGCGTGCAAGTCGTCGTAGGCTGCCACCGATAGCCACTCGACGAGGTTGTTAAGAACCCCTCTGAGCTCGTGGGGCCCTGAGCTTTTCGTCATGAGGATTATCTGGAATGTGTTTGTTGTTGTTGTTACGATCCAATTCTTTTTGTCACCCCTGAAAGACGTCGACAAAAATGGCCTTTGACTTTGAAAGCCAAGTCAATGTCCCCCACCCCCCCCCCCCCCCTAACGCGTTACAAATGTTATTTTTCAATACAAAAAACGACCCACGTACCAACATTAAACGAAACAAAATATTTTTTTAATTTTACCAGGACAGGCCCACTAAGCCGTTTAGCTCTTTTCTTTTTTTAGAAGCAACCTGGCTATTACAGATGAAAGCACAACAAAGCGGCTTACCATCGCCACGTGGTGATGCATCGCTGCCAACATACTCTTGAACGCGCGACGTTGATTCTAAACGTGGAGGCAAAGACCAAAGGACCCCGGAGAAAAATCCACGCAACCACGGAGAGAGAGGGACACCGCAAACTCCAAAAAAAGACGTAAACACTCCCGAGAATTTGCAACAGTGCCACGATAAAATGTGCCTCGGGGTCTGGAGAGACCACCCTGCAGAATATTCCAGACACGCGTTGATAATGATGGTGAACGAGTGGAAGACTTTGGGGGCCGTCCATAAATGACGTCACGCGATTTTTTGCCCCCCCCCCCTCTGTCACACGGCGTCACAAAAAGTTAGACCCCCTCAAATATGACGTCACAAATCTCTGCCCCCCCCTCCCCAAAAAATAATAATATAAAACATGCTTCAAATCGCTTTAAACTATTAGTCATTGTAGTGCCGTATTTAATGCGGCGCTGCACTCTGATGTTGTAGGAGAAAACATTTATTAAAAAGTCTAATTAAGTAGAACGTGTTTGTCGATATATTTATCTAAAGTTGCGCATTTTCACGTGAGGTGCGTGACGTCACTTATGGACGGCCCCTTACAGCGCACTATCCGTTCTTTTTCCATTTAAAACGATAGTCCCGTGTCAGTGTTAACATTTGTGTTTGAAGCACGCTGCATACACAGCAGGCGCCAGAAGGCTGCTGCATACCAGGCGAGGCGAGGGGGAGGGGGGTGAACATCTCCTAGCCGCCGCGTTGCGTCCCAGAGCAGCCGTGGGATTTCCCTTCCCACGGGGCGGCCGAACTCTCCTGACGCGTGAACCGCTCCCCCACCACCCGAACAAACGCCGCGAGCTCCAACGCCGGGGTGGGGTGGGCCCCCCACCCAGCCCCCCCCCCAGCCCCCCCAGCCCCCCCCCCCAGCCCCCCCCAGCCCCCCCACCAGCCCCCCCCAGCCCCCCCCAGCCCCCCCAGCCCCGTTTGCGAGCCACGCAAATACCGCGGCGAGGAAAGGGACGACGCTCTGCTTGAAAGCGTACGCTGGAAGCGCCGTCAAAAGTAAACTTAAAAAAATAGTGCTGCGAGTAAATGGGCAGCGTCTGTACCAGGGCAGTGTGGGTGTGACGCTGCGTCTTGTGTGTGGGGGGGGGGGGGGGTGCGTACGTCTGCATCTTACATAATTGTGCGCGAAAGTGACAAAACTCTTTTTTTTCTTCTTCTTCTTGATTTGCCAATTCCGCCGCCAGATGGTTTTAGTCCCAAGGCCCCAACGCAGAGCATCCACGGACCACTCTTCTCCCATGAGCTCACTCGCCCCCACGAGTGGTCCAGCGCCAAATTTCGTAATAAAAAAATATCTGGAGAAACACCAACCCCCACCCCCCCCCAAGTGCCCCCCCCCCCTTTGAGACACGGGCTGCGATTTGTTGCAACGGCGGGGCTTAGATTTGACAACCCGGTGTCGAACGCCCACGTGACCCGCCACATTGCCCACAACAACGCACTCGACCTTGTCCAGACCACCAGCTCAAGAGAACTGAACGTCCAGGCCGAGCTGCTTCGTGTGCCACCCGTGTCGTTTCCCTCCCGCCCGCACGGGTAATGAGTTTTCTCGTCATTTACGGAAGCATTGGATCTCAACGAACCCCCGTTCCGTAATTCCCTCTCGAATTGCCGACGACGTTTCGTGAAAATCCGCTGAAACGAAAAGGATCCCGTGCAAAACGGAGTGATTTTTGGAAAGCGCTCCGAGCGCGATCGTTGCGAGACGCTCTCACGGACGCCGCTCTCGGTGGGCGGAGCGCAAAGCGTGGGGTGCGCGGCGTGCGTGAGGCTCGGCGCGAGCCACGGGGAGCCACGGGGAGCCACGGGGAGCCACGGGGAGCCACGGGGAGCCACGGGGAGCCACGGGGGAGCCACGGGGAGCCACGGGGGAGCCACGGGGAGCCATGGGGTGGGGGGACTCCCAGGGAACCGAGGCTCCCGCCTGTGTAACCGTGGCCCTTGCAATGGTTTAGGCTCGCAGCAAGGCCCACGGGGGCCTGCCCGCAGCGTTCATCGAGCGTCGGCGGGACTCCCAACGAGCGACGCGAATTGCCCCTCCACGTAGGAGCGCAGCAGCCACGCTTCGTCGTCGTCGTCGTCGTCATCGTCGTCGTGATCGCGGAGTGGCGACCGTGCGAGCGTCGTGGGCGTGCGGGGACTCCGCTTGCACACGCGGGGGGTGGGGGGGGGAGTGGACGGTTGTCGGAAGTCACAAAAGCGATGGGGGTGAGGGGGCGGGCGGGGGTGAGGGGGGGGGGGTGATGGAAGATGCGGAGGGAAGAAAGTGAAGCTTGTGAAACGACGGACGCGGCTCTCGGCTTTGACTTCCAGAACGCAAACCTGAAACGAGACAAGTTACAAGCCGTGTGAACTTCAGCGCCGGCGCCGATTCCTTTTCCCTTCACGCCGCGAGCCCAAACACCCTGACACAGATTCCTCGAGCTGGCCAAGGTTCACCGGAGAGACGCGCAGAGTTCGCCGCGGCAGATCTCGGCACAAAACTCGTTTCCTGCCGCCCTTGCCGCCCGAGCACAGACGCCGGTTCCCCGGACCGCACCGGGTCAAACGAGCACCAGCGGCGCCGGCGGACGCCGCCGCTCACCGGAACCGCGCCCCGACCGCCACTGACCTTTTGACGCTGGCGCCGTGTTAGCAGTCGGACGTGAGCTTGGCCGTCTCCGAGGGCTGCACCTCCACCTCGTCGTGGTAGTACTTGGCCTCGTAGAGGTCGGCCTTCCGGTTGAAGTTCAGGCAGCCGCACTGCGGACACAACCGCCGCCACGCGCACGCGCGGTGAGAGAGAGCCGGCTTGCGGGGAGGCCGCGCGGCTAACGGGGGGCCAGCGCGTTGGAGCGCGGTCAAACGACCGTCGCCATCGCCGCGGATTAAGGAAGGGCCGCACGTGGCGAGCATTATTTACACTCCTCTCCCCCCGTTGTTCAACCGCGCCACCGGTGCCGGGTTCCCGAGCGCCGAGCGGCATCAGTCTTCCGGGCGCCTGCGAATACTGCGCTTCTGCGAGAAAGAGCTACGGGGAGGTCGTCGGATTCCGCCGGCGTGAGCCAAGGCTCCCGATTCGTCGCTCGCACCTTCCACAGCAGGAAGAGCAGCAGGGCGAGCAGCAGGATCCCCACGAGGATGGCGACGAGGATGATCCACCACGGGAAGCCAGAGGTGATCACCGTCGACTTCTCCGGGAACACGGTCAGCCTCACCTGCGTGGACACCAGGTCACACACGCGTCACACACACGCACGCACGCACGCATCACACACACGCGTGACACGCGTGACACACGCGTCGCACACATGTGACGCACGCGTCACACACGCGCGTGACACGCACGTGACACGCGTCACACGTCACACGTCACACACGCTACAGTACAGAGCACAAATTTGCTGCCGCCATCAAATCTGGGGTGGGGATCCCGGCTCCTACCTCGCCGCACCGGAGAGAATTCCAACGCAAATCAGTCGGGGTGACGGACGATCGGGCACTGCCTGATTCACTCCAGTCACTCGCTCACTGGCGGTCAGTCACCTCCTGATCGCTCTTCTATCGCTACTGCTGCCATGGTTATCGTTGCCGTGAACGTCGCTCATTCATTCCTCCTTCCGTTTTGAAGACTCGGTCGCTCTCCGACTGTTTCGTCTCATTCTATACACCGTGTCCAACTGCAGGTCCCCACAACGCACAGCCCAGCCACCCACTCACCACACTGCAGGTCACGACAACTCACCCACTCACTCACTCACCCACCCACCCACTCACCCACCCACCCACTCACCCACCCACTCACCCCCCACCCACTCACCCACCCACCCACCCACTCACTCACCACGCTCAAGTCACAATAACACACTCACTCACCCACTCACTCACCCACCCACCCGCCCACTCACCCACCCACCCGCCCACTCACCCACCCACTCACCACTCAGGTCATAAGAAGACACCCACTCGCTCACCCACTCACTCACCCACTCACCCACCCACTCACTCACCCACTCACCCACCCACTCACCCACCCACTCACCCACCCACTCACTCACCCACCCACTCACCCACCCACTCACTCACCACACTCAAGTCACAATAACACACTCACTCACCCACTCACTCACCCACCCACCCGCTCACTCACCCACCCACTCACCCACCCACTCACTCACCCACCCACTCACCCACCCACTCACTCACCCACCCACTCACCCACCCACTCACCCACCCACTCACCCACCCACCCACCCACTCACCCACCCACCCACCCACTCACCCACTCACCCACCCACCCACTCACCCACATACCCACACACCCACTCACCCACCCACCCATCCACTCACCCACCCACCCATCCACTCAACGACCCACCCACTCACCACATCGCAGGTCACCTCACTTCTCTTTCCGCTTCTTTCCTCGCACTTATCCACTCTGGAATTCCCTCCTCCTCCCATCTCCTCTCCCCCCCCCCCCCCCACCCCGAGCTCTCACAACAACAACAACAACCATTTTCAATGGACGAACGTCTTTCAACCCCTAACGATTACAACTTTGACCGTGCCGCTTGTCGCTGGCCTGCTCGACGCTTCGGGCCCCTCCGGGACCCCTAAGCTCGGCAACCCGGGGCCGTGAGCAGCTCACCGGGAACGTCTGGAGGCCGGATCCCTTGAGGATGATGTTTTTGCTCTGAGAGAAGAGTCCCGTGGTGACGGACGAGATGAGGTCCAGGTAGTTTGCGTCGTCATACTCCTGCACACGGCGACGGATCCGTACCATGAGCGAGCGTCCCCGACGAGGATGCCAAGCGGCGGACTTCCACTCAACCACCCACACCCATCCACCCACCCATCCGCTCACCCGCACACTCGCCCACTTGCCCACCCATCCACCCACCCACCTGGACACTCACCCACCTACACAGTCATCCACCAACCCACCCACTCACCTGCCCACCCACCTGGACACTCACCCACCTACACAGTCATCCACCAACCCACCTACTCACCTGCCCACCCATCCACCCACCCATCCACCCACCCACCTACACAGTCATCCACCAACCCACCTACTCACCTGCCCACCCATCCACCCACCCACCTGCCCACCCACCCATCCGATCTGTGCACCGTGGAGGACATCGCCGGGGCCACACACCGGGCCGCATCACGCGTCATGGTCTATCCACTGCTGGCCACTTCGCCAATGTGCCCAATACCGGGAGAAACCCACGGGCGCCGTGTGGCACAACAGGGGAGGAACAGGCGTGAACGAGGCGCGAACGAGGCGCGAACGAGGCGCGAACGAGGTGCGAACGAGGTGCGAACGAGGCGTGAACGAGGTGTGAACGAGGCGCGAACGAGGTGCGAACGAGGTGCGAACGAGGCGTGAACGAGGTGTGAACGAGGCGCGAACGAGGCGCGAACGAGGCCCGAACGAGGTGCGAACGAGGCGCGAACGAGGTGCGAACGAGGCGTGAACGAGGTGTGAACGAGGCGCGAACGAGGAGCGAACGAGGCGCGAACGAGGCGCCGGCGTGCCTCTGTGAAGGTGCTGTTCCACAGCTTGGCGCGGATCTTGACGACGGCGGTGGTGTCCATGCCCTGCAGGGGGCAGTGGTAGAGCTGGCACAGGACGTCGCCACCGCCGCATTGCTGGCAACAAGAAAGCACTCCGGTGAACACGAGGGGCTTTCGCGATGAATGTCATTGCATAATAGAGATCGTTATGCGATTTAACCCCCCCCCCCAAAAAAAAAAACCTCTACTATGGATAAGAAAGCACTTGTCACCTGACTTGACATTCTAACGATGCCGGGCACGTTAAACTGGGGGGAGGATATGTTCGTGATAAATATTTGTGGGTTCGATCGCGTTAGTATAAATGTGTCGGAACCCTCCACTACCCGACACAGCCAATTAGTAAGGGATTTGTCACGTAAACTACATGCCAATTATAGTGTAGTGTATAGTGTAGTGTATAGTGTAGTGTATAGTAGTAGTGTATAGTGTAGTGTATAGTGTAGTGTATAGTAGTAGTGTATAGTGTAGTGTATAGTGTAGTGTATAGTGTAGTGTATAGTAGTGTATAGTGTAGTGTATAGTGTAGTGTATAGTAGTAGTGTATAGTGTAGTGTATAGTGTAGTGTATAGTAGTAGTGTATAGTGTAGTGTATAATGTAGTGTATAGTGTAGTGTATAGTGTAGTGTAATAGTGTAGTGTATAGTGTAGTGTATAGTGTAATGTAATAGTGTAGTGTATAGTGTAGTGTATAGTGTAGAGTGTAGTGTATAGTGTAGTGTATAGTAGTAGTGTATAGTGTAGTGTATAGTGTAATGTATAGTGTAGTGTATAGTGTAATGTATAGTGTAGTGTACTACTTCAGGCCACCGTTGTGTTGGAGAATAAATCCACAAGATTTACAATTTGAGGAGCACGGCGTTTCGCTGGTGATTACATCCAGCATCATCGGGCGATTTGCCAGAATATTCTGGCAAATCTAACCCAAAAACCCGAAAACCTTTATCATAAATAATATTGGTCGCAAAAGCCCACGTCTTAAACTGAAATACATATATATGTATGTTTTAATCTGCTTGGCCGTTTTGCACTGCAATGGTAAAGTTAAAAGGGGGAGCGGCGATCAACAATGCGACCATAGCTGTCATTGGGTCGGTGCAAGGGCAGGTAGCACTCACCAGCTTGAAGTATTTTTTCTTCAGCTTGGAGATGAAGGCTTGTTTATTCCCCTCATTATTCTCATCTCTCCTCTTCCTCTTCAGCGGCCAAAGCAAGGACATGACGCAGTCACACACACGGACACAGACACGGAGACAAAGATCCCCCGTGGAGACTTTAACAGACTGTTGGGGCGAGTGCTGTTTGCGAGCACCTACAGTGAGGGAAAAAAAGTATTTGATCCCCTGCTGATTTTGTACGTTTGCCCACTGACAAAGAAATGATCAGTCTATAATTTTAATGGTAGGTGTATTTGAACAGTGAGAGACAAAATAACAACAAGAAAATCCGGAAAAACGCATGTCAAAAATGTTATGACTTGATTTGCATTTTAATGAGGGAAATAAGTATTTGACGACCTCTCAATCAGAAAGGTTTCTGGCTCCCAGGTGTCTTTTATACAGGAAACGAGCTGAGATTAGGAGCACACTCTTAAAGGGAGTGCTCCTAATCTCATACTTTTTTCCCTCACTGTACATGCCCATCTGAAGTTTGCCAATGAACATCTGAATGATTCAGAGGACAACTGGGTGAAAGTGTTGTGGTCAGATGAGACCAAAATGGAGCTCTTTGGCATCAATTCAACTCGCTGTGTTTGGAGGAGGAGGAATGCTGCATATGACCCCAAGAACACCATCCCCACCGTCAAACATGGAGGTGGAAACATTATGCTTTGGGGGTGTTTTTTCTGCTAAGGGGACAGGACAACTTCACCGCATCAAAGGGACGATGGATGGGGCCATGTACCGTCAAATCTTGGGTGAGAACCTCCTTCCCTCAGCCAGGGCATTGAAAATGGGTCGTGGATGGGTATTCCAGCATGACAATGACCCAAAACACACGGCCAAGGCAACAAAGGAGTGGCTCAAGAAGAAGCACATTAAGGTCCTGGAGTGGCCTAGCCAGTCTCCAGACCTTAATCCCATAGAAAATCTGTGGAGGGAGCTGAAGGTTCGAGTTGCCAAACGTCAGCCTCGAAACCTTAATGACTTGGAGAAGATCTGCAAAGAGGAGTGGGACAAAATCCCTCCTGAGATGTGTGCAAACCTGGTGGCCAACTACAAGAACGTCTGACCTCTGTGATTGCCAACAAGGGTTTTGCCACCAAGTACTAAGTCATGTTTTGCAGAGGGGTCAAATAATTATTTCCCTCATTAAAATGCAAATCAATTTATAACATTTTTGACATGCGTTTTTCTGGATTTTGTTGTTGTTGTTATTCCGTCTCTCACTGTTCAAATAAACCTACCATTAAAATTATAGACTGATCATTTCTTTGTCAGTGGGCAAACGTACAAAATCAGCAGGGGATCAAAAACTTTTTTCCCTCACTGTATGAAGGCCGGCACGGCAAGTGAGGGTGTGGGTGGGCAGCACCACGCCCGGCCGTCTTTGTCTCCGCAGTGATGATGTACACATCGCACCAGGTATTCATTGAGGCTGAGTCGACCTAGGGAAGGCCCAGGACTGGTTCAGATAAACGTCACTGGTGTTGGCCATGAGTGGAAATCGAACCTGGTTTGCCGGGTTTGAAGCGCAGCGCGCAAACCGCTACACACCTCTCCCACACACACACGCGCACCCACACACACACGAGCACACGCGCACACGCGTAAACATACCCGAACACACACACACACAAGCACGCAAGCACACACAAGCACGCAAGCACACACTCGCACGCACACACACACACACGCACACACACACGCACACGCAAGTACACACACGCACGCACACACGCACGCACACACACACACACGCACACACACGCACACGCACACACAAGCACACACACGCACACACACGCACGCACACACACGCAAGCACACACGCACACATGCACACACACACACACGCACACACGCACTCACACATGCACACACACACGCACACACGCACACACGCACTCACACACGCACACACACACGCACACACGCACACACGCACACAAGCACGCAAGCACAAACACGCACGCACACACATACACACGCACACACACAAGCACACGCAAGTACACACACACACGCACACACACACACACACGCAAGCACACACGCACACATGCACACACACGCACACACGCACTCACACACGCACACACACACGCACACACGCACACGCACACACACACACGCACACACGCACACACACACGAGCATACACACACACACACGCACACACGCACACACACACACACGCACACACGCACACACGCACACACACAAGCACACACACACACACACACGAACATACAGGACACCACCGTCCACGTGGCAGTCATTGATGGGGGGCGGCTGTGGAACCCTCGCCGCTCGCTGTTACAGAAAATCTGCGGTCGCAGTCGCGCGGGCCGCCCTGGCTAATACCGCAGCGTGCGTGAACCGCGCGGAAGAGCGCGCACCGTCCGCTTCACAACGAACGCCACAGATCCCGTGGCATCGCTCGAGTAAGCGGCAAAGTCGGCATGCGCCAAATGTTAAAAAAACGACACACCGCAAAGTCACCGAATTTGGGAAGCGCACGCATCACTTCCGTCGCCCCCACACCGCGAACATTTAGCAGGACCCCCCCCCCCCACCCCCCCCACCCCCCCCACCCCCCCACCCTGACAAAAAGAGACTCCGTGAAGTTTTCCCGGCAAGAGCAAAGGGGCGATCGTAGAAAGTAATAAACGAATTAATTCACGTGACATTTGTTTCACACCAGGCCTAGAAGTGAAGAGACCAGGGAGAGCCTCGCCGGCGAGACCGAGCTGGGTTCACGAAGCGACAAAAGCAAAACAAAACCGAGCACACAACGAACGGCTTCAAGCGTAAACCGGAGCGCGTCGAGTGCAGTCAACGGTGGCGTTTTGCCCCGTCGATTTCGACGCGCCGTTTGATCCGGCGCTGGGTGGGAGCCGGACCCCGGCCGCACCGGCGCTGCCCGCGGACTTCCCCGGCCCGGGAGTGGGGCCGGCGAGGGCCGGCGGGGACACGCAGGGGGGGCCGCGGGGGAACTGACCAGGAACTGGCCGTCCGAGCCCAGGGCCATGCAGCTCCTCTCCACGGCGCCGGCCGCGACGCTGGTGCTGGTGACGTACAGGAGCTGCTTGCCGCTCGGCGTGAAGGCCGGAATGGACATGTTGAGGTAGGCGGACGCCAGCGAGCCCAGAGACTTGCCCAGGTTGTGCACCTGCGCCGCGCGGTCAACACAGAGGCAGCGGAGGGCGCGGCCGCCCGTTAACACCCCGGCGCTGCGCTCGCGATGTGAGAAGAAACTCGGCCTGTGTTGGCGTGGCCGGGTCTGTCCCAGCGCTGGGCGTGCGTCGTGGTTACCGTGAGCTCGTACTCCACGACGTTCCCCGTGTCCTCCTTCTTGAGCGTTGACGCGCCCTCCATGGAGTCGCCAAAGTAAACCTGGGACGGCTTCGCCACCCTGCCCCGGGGGAGGCAACAAACAGGGCTCGTCACTCCTCCTGCTCCTGCAAGGCCCTCCACGGCAGCCAACCACAGCTGAAAGACCACCGCACGCGGACAGCAGCGTCCACCGCAACCACCGTCACCACCAGTAACGCAGCGTCCACCGCTACCATCAACATCATCATCATCATGATCGGCGGCGGCATCAGCAAGGAGCGTGCGGCCCTCTCGCCCGTGCCGCGTGCGGCCCTCTCGCCCGTGCCGCGTGCGGCCCTCTCGCCCGTGCCGCTTGCGGCCCTCTCGCCCGTGCCGCGTGCGGCCCGTGAACGCCGCCTACCCCGAGGTGGTGAGCAGCAGCTCGGTGCGCACCTGCAGGCGCGCCGTCTGTGGCGTCAGGTCGCTCTGCTCGCTCGTGCTGCAACACACAGAGACATCGGCACTCAGCTCTCTCGCCATCTCCCCACGCTCTCTCTCTCTCCCCACGCTCTCTCTCGCCCTCTCCCCACGCTCTCTCTCTCTCTCTCCCCACGCTCTCTCTCGCCCTCTCCCCACGCTCTCTCTCTCTCCTCACGCTCTCTCTCGCCCTCTCCCCACGCTCTCTCTCTCCCCACGCTCTCTCTCTCCCCACGCTCTCTCTCTCTCCCCACGCTCTCTCTCCCCATGCTCTCTCTCTCTCTCTCCCCACGCTCTCTCTCTCTTTCTCTCCCCACTCTCTCTCTTTCTCTCCCCACGCTCTCTCTCTCCCCACGCTCTCTCTCGCCCTCTCCCCACGCTCTCTCTCTCTCTCCCCACGCTCTCTCTCTCCCCAAGCTCTCTCTCTCCCCACGCTCTCTCTCTCCCTCCCCCCACGCTCTCTCTCTCTCTCCCCACGCTCTCTCTCTCCCCACGCCCTCTCCCCACGCTCTCTCTCTTTCTCTCTCCCCACGCTCTCTCTCTAAAGCAGGAAGTTATTTTCCCCAATTACATTCCTTAAATAATGATCAAATAGAGCAAGTCAAGTTCTATAAGTATCTTGGGGTCATCCTGGATTCAAAACTGAATTTTGAAGATAACATTGATTATATTGGTAAAAAGACAAAAATTGGTTTTCTGTATCGACACAAGCACTGCTTCCCCCCAATGTTCCGTTTGGAATTGATAAAAGCTACCATACTGCCTCTACTTGACTACTGTGACATCGTGTATAAATCAGCCCCAAGTACTGTACTGAAGAAGCTTGACTCCATCTATCCCTCGGCCTTAAGATTTGCATTGAACTGCCCATATAGGACTCACCACTGTGATCTCTACATTGGGACAAACTTAACATCACTTAATGTTCGACGGCTTGTACACCAGATCTTATTTATTCACGATGTACTTACAAAAAAATCCGCAGACTACCTGCTGGATCTCCTCTCTGTTTCAAAGAACAAATTTGACCTCAGGTCTTCGCTCATCTACCAACTTCACATTCCCTATTGCCGTACAAAAACCGGAGGAAGGGCCTTTGCTATTGATGCCCCCACGGTCTGGAATGCTATTGCCAATAAACTGCAACTTGAATCACTACCTATGAGATCTTCACTCAAAACTGCTCTAGAGGAGTTGTACACCCCTAGCTGCCACTGCTATTCAGTGGCCTAAAATAAAATACAAATTTTCGCTCCGGATGACCGCTGCAAAGTATTATCTGTATTTTGATTTAGTGTGCTGATCTTAAAGGTGCATTGAAATGTGATACTGCGATTGATGCTCCTGTTGTTGTGGAGTAACTCATGCAGCCAGCTATGGCTATAGGGTTTGGTGTTACATGTTATATATGTAGTTTATTATTTTTGTAGTTCACTGTTACATTACATTTATGGCTTTATTTTGGTGATTTCTAAAAGTTTTTTGGTTTGGCCATGTTTTTTGTTTATTGTAGTACGGAGTTAGACTGATGACCTTAATCTAAGTTTTCTTGTTGTTGTTGTTGTTTGACTTGCATCCCACTGGGATTTTTGCACACAGCGTTGGTGTACGGTGCTATTTCAGGGATATTTTGATGTTTTTTTCCTGGATTTTCTGTTTGCACATGCACAAAGTCACTTTAAGATGTTTTCTTGTTCATGTTTTTGTTTTTTGTGTTTGTTGTGATTGCACCCGATGCAAGAGCCGAATGGCTAAAAGGCCTATACTAAATAAATGAAACTATGAAACTCTCTCCCCACGCTCTCTCTCTCCCCACGCTCTCTCTCTCTCCCCACGCTCTCTGTCTCTCCCCACGCTCTCTCTCTCTCCCCACGCTCTCTGTCTCTCGCCCTCTCATGCCGGACGGGTAACACAGTCCCGCGGACGGGGCCCAGGGTGCACGAGGCGGCGTCTCACGTGGCGAGCTGCAGCTCGACGTTCACAGACTCCTGGTCGGCGTTGAGGGCGTTGGTGCTCAGGAGGAGGTAGAACACAACCTGGCAAGAGAGAGAGAGAGCGGAAGACGACGGTCGGTCGGAGCCGCGGCGCTTCCTCTCGCCGTGCTCTCAGCAACAGCGGCCGACACCCAGCCAGGTGGCTCAGCGGTTTGTCCTGCACGTGTGTAGGGTCGCCCCTGTCAGGGGAATGTGGGATTTCTAGCGCTGGCTCAGGGCTTCGAAGGCACCAACCGAGTGCTCGTTCGAGTTTAGCGCACGAGTGGGACTCACGCTCTCGCCCCTCTTGAGGGGGTTTCCCAGCTCGCACTCGGTCAGTGTCCCATTGGCGTTGGCGTTGCACACGGGAGGCTGGCCCTGCACGGCCACACGCACAGACACACGCACAGACACAAACAGACACACGCGCAGACACACGCACCCCCATAAACAGACACACGCACAGACACAAACAGACACACGCACAGACACACGCACAGACGCACGCACCCCCACAAACAGACACACGCGCAGACACACGCACAGACACACGCACAGACGCACGCACCCCCACAAACAGACACACGCACAGACACACGCACCCCCACAAACAGACACACGCACAGACGCACGCACCCCCACAAACAGACACACGCACAGACGCACGCACCCCCACAAACAGACACACGCACAGACACACGCACCCCCACAAACAGACACACGCACAGACACACGCACCCCCACAAACAGACACACGCACAGACACACGCACAGACACACGCGCAGACACACGCACCCCCACAGACAGACACACGCACAGACACACGCACCCCCACAAACAGACACACGCACAGACACACGCACCCCCACAAACAGACACACGCACAGACACACGCACCCACACAAACAGACACACGCACAGACACACGCACCCCCACAAACAGACACACGCACAGACACACGCACAGACACACGCGCCCCCACAAACAAACACACGCACAGACACACGCACCATGCAAACGGACACACGCACACCAAGGTGAGTGCAGGGTGTAGACACACGTGCATGCTAGGAGTGCAGGAAGCCCACTTCCTGCACTCCTAGCATGCACGTGTGTGTGGCAGGCAGTGCACAGCAGACACACGCACCCCCACAGACAGACACACGCACAGACACACGCACCCCCACAAACAGACACACGCACAGACACACGCACCCCCACAAACAGACACACGCACAGACACACGCACCCCCACAAACAGACACACGCACAGACACACGCACCCCCACAAACAGACACACGCACAGACACACGCACAGACACACGCGCCCCCACAAACAAACACACGCACAGACACACGCACCATGCAAACGGACACACGCACACCAAGGTGAGTGCAGGGTGTAGACACACGTGCATGCTAGGAGTGCAGGAAGCCCACTTCCTGCACTCCTAGCATGCACGTGTGTGTGGCAGGCAGTGCACAGCAGACACACGCACCCCCACAGACAGACACACGCACAGACACACGCACCCCCACAAACAGACACACGCACAGACACACTCACCCCCACCAACAGACACACGCACAGACACACGCACCCCCACAAACAGACACACGCACAGACACACGCACCCCCACAAACAGACACACGCACAGACACACGCACAGACACACGCGCCCCCACAAACAAACACACGCACAGACACACGCACCATGCAAACGGACACACGCACACCAAGGTGAGTGCAGGGTGTAGACACACGTGCATGCTAGGAGTGCAGGAAGCCCACTTCCTGCACTCCTAGCATGCACGTGTGTGTGGCAGGCAGTGCACAGCGGGCGTGTGCGTGCGTGCTGCGGGGCTCACGGGAGGGAACTCCTTGGGGCGGGCGTCCATGTAGCCGAGCGAGGGCGGCAGGCGGATGCTGAGTCGCGACTCGTAGGCGTCGTCGCCCGGGTTGGTGACGGTCAGCTGCAGCGCCAGCTCCTCCTGCCCACTCAGCAGCAGCACCTGCTCGTGGCCTTCCCTGCACGGGGGAGACACGGGGGGGGGCGGGGGGGGGGGGGCGCGGGGGGGGAGCGCCGGCCGGTCAAGAGAGAGACGCGGGGGGAGAGACGCGGGGGGAGAGACGCGGGGGGAGAGACACGGGGAGAGAGACACGCGGCCCCCACGGGGAGTCGAGAACCGTCGCCGGCCAACCCCGTGGCAGCCTGGCGGCGGTGCGGGCGCTGTGCGGGGGCTAGGGGGTCACTGCGGGGGCTGGGGGGGGTCACTGCGGGGGCTGGGGGGGGTCACTGCGGGGGCTGGGGGGGGGTCACTGCGGGGGTGAGGGGTCACTGCGGGGGCTGGGGGGGTCACTGCGGGGGTGAGGGGTCACTGCGTACGTTGGCAGCGGCTCGTAGGAGTTGTTGCCTCCAAATCGGCAGAAGAGGTGAGCCAGCTGCAGGTTGCTCTGGCAGATGTTGTCTGATCCACACCCATCCTTGGCGAAGTTAATCTGAGGACAGAGAACGCGTGGAGCTGAGCGGGGCTTTCCAGGGAAGGTCCACACAAGCTGCACGAACGCTGCACTAGGCTGCACACACGCCGCACACACGCTGCACACACGCTGCGTATGTGCGTTGGACATTTACAGCAGCCAAATACTCTGAACCCGCGACGTTGATTCTAAATGCGGAGGGAAAAACCGGAGGGCCTCGAGAAAAATTCACGTGACCACGGGGAGAGAGAGAGACACGCAAACTCCAAATATACAGCAGCAGCAGGCGTCAGGGTCGGGATCGAACCCACGACCTCCTGTACACCAGACGAGGTAGTTAACATTTCGCCACAGCGGCGCCTAATGGATAGACACTCCCCCCCCCCCCTGCCCCGTGCCATTAGAGGGACGAGCCATGTTCAATGTTCTCCCACTTGGCTCGGGGTGGGGGGGGGGGGGCGTATCAACGAGCAGCGCCTCCTCGAGGTGTCCCTGGGTGAGTGGAGACCGCGAGGGGGGGGGCGTGATGGGGTTGAGGAGGCCGTGATAGCGTGGAGGAGGCCATGATGGTGTGGAGGAGGCCATGATGGTGTGGAGGAGGCTCACGTTGGTGGCGGAGAAGCTGGGCTTGAGCAAGTCGAGCACGGGCCTCTCCTGCCCCGCACTGGCTTGCCGCCGTCTGCGCGACCCCTGCAGCTTGTAGTCGAAGGAAACCTTGAGCGGCCGCAGCTTGTCCTTGATGTCGTCCTGCGGGAGGGCGAGGGAAGGGGGAGGGAGCTCAGCCGGGGGCAGCTTGCTAAACGAGCGCCGCACGCTCAGAGCATCGCGAGCTCCTGGACCGACGGCGCCGCGACGCTTTGCGCGTACGTCGCGACGCTGCCGCGGCAGGGCGCGAGGACCTGGGACGCGCGCCGTGAGGCGCCCGCCGCCACCCAGCACATCGCCCCGGCGTCGCCGATTGAAGCGAAAAACCCAACACGACGCGTCGCGGGGGGTTGTTCTGAAGCCATCGGTGACGGGGCCGAGACCGCCGGAGCGCCGCTGCGCTCGAGAGCCCAGCGTAGCCACACGTGGCCTGCCCGGCTTCGAGCGCAGGCTCTCCGCGGCGCGGGATCGGAATCTCTGGCGCGGGACGACGGCGCCCTCGCGATGTCGCGGAGCCGCGCGCGGGCGCGAGCTCACCTTGATCTGCAGGGTGCGGCGGACGCACTTCCTGCTGTTCTGCCCTCCGAGGTCGACGAACCCCGAGGACTCGGCCTGCTGAGGCACCCCGGCGTCGTCCAGGAAGACGGCGCGTGGGCTCAGGCTGGCCTTGACGCGGTCCATGTCCACGCTCGCCGTGAAGATGAGCCCTGAGCCGACACGCATGCACGCGCATGTATGCACGCGCAAACACACGCACACCAGGACAGAGATCAGGGACGAAGATCCCCCGTGTGTAGGCTTTAGTCCTGACCGACTGTTGGGGCAAGCGCTCTACGTCTGCACCTCTGAAGGCCGGCGCAGTGCACCAGCGGGTGGTGTGGGCGGCACCACGCCAAGCCGTCCACACCAGCGGGTGGTGTGGGCGGCACCACGCCAGGCCGCCTTTGTTTCCCCAGTGCCAACGCTCACGCCACGTGAGGGGTACTCATTTAAAGCCGAGTCGACCTAGGGGCGGCCCACGGCCGGTTCAGATAATCGCCACTGGCGCCGACCACGGTGTGGGAATTGAACTCGTGTCACCGGGTCCTCGGCGCACGAACACCGCCACGCTCCCGGTCAGTGCACGTGTACGCACGTACACGCCATGCGCAGAACTGGCACGTCTAAGACGAGCGCGCGTGCCCTCCTGCCTTCGCAGGGGTACAACAACCACGTCGTCTGCGTGCTACAAAGAAGGAGGAGGACCCATCGCCCCAATGGTTGAACGGCGTCAACGTTCGTTCCGTTCGTTTGCTCCTGCGGGTCGAGTGCAGTGCGGGCGATCTTACGGGTGCCGGGGCTGGACGTGGGGTTGTTGCCCTGGTAGGTGAAACAGGCGTCAATGTTGGCGCTGCGGGGCACAGCGGGAAGAGGGGGCACAGCGGGAAGAGGGGGCACAGCGGGAAGAGGGGGCACAGCGGGAAGAGGGGGCACAGCGGGAAGAGGGGGCACAGCGGAGGCACGCACGCGTGTTAAATGACGTCACGCGATTTTGGACGATTTTTGACCCCCACCCCCCCGCCGCCTTGTCGCACGGCGTCACAAAGTCAGACTCCCCTCTCAAATATGACGTCACAAAACTCTGCCCCCCCCCCCCTCCCCCCCCAAAAAATAAAGCATGCTTCAAATCGCTTTAAACTATTAGTCATTGTAGTGGGTATTTAATGTGGAGCTGCACTCTGATGTTGTAGGAGAAAACATTTATTAAGTAGAACGTGTTGTCTATATTTATTTAAAGTTGCGCATTTTTACGTGACGTCACATTTCTCAAACCCGCACCACCCCCCCCCCCCCCCTCGTCACACATCGTCAAAAATGTCTGACCCCCCCTCCCCCCCAGGTGCGTGACGTCATTTATGGGCGGCCCCTTAGGCGGGGGGCACACACGCGTGTTGCGCTGGGGGGGGTGGGGGGGTGTCACGCAGCGACACCCCCCACACCCCCCCCCCCCCCGCTCCAAGGTTCCGAGACGCCTGTGAGTCGCCGCTCTGATCTCGGACACGCGCTTCAGAGCCCCGTCAATTCTCCCCCAGGGAGACGCAGCAGCAGCAGCAGCAGCGCCGTTGCTTTTCAAGACGCGGCGACTCGTGGCCTTGCGGGAGCCTCGGCACCGACAAAGCTATTCCATTTCAGTTTTCCCTCTGGTTTTGTGTTGATGACGTACACCACGCACGCCATCGGAGCGGCAAAGGCTTCAATGGGGAGCACAACAGCGGCGGCGGCGGCAGCGGCGGAAGCGGCGGCTGTCGCCCCCCCCCCACCGACGGAGAGAACTTGACAAGGACCCTCGCGAAGAAGAAACTCCTCGTCGGGTGCACGAGCGGAGTCGAGAAATGAAGGCGACAACAACGACGACGACGACGACGTGACGCCGCGCTCGGCAACGGCACGACAGACAAGGGGGGGCCGATGCGCCGCTGGTCGGCACGGCGCCGCCGCCCCGGCCAGCGCTCACCAGGTGTGCGGGCCGCAGTTCTTCTCGTTGATGTTGATGTCCATGGGCTTGTTGATCTCCGTCTCTATGCTCACCACAGGCCGTGACCTAAGAGCCCCCACCCCATGGCGACAAACACAGAGCGGCCACGAAGAGGTGAGGAGACATCGAAGTCTTCGCATTGCCCCCCACCCCAACACACCCCCCCCACACACACACCCCCCACACCCCCCACCACCAACCTCTGCTCCCCTGTGCCCCCTCCCGCTGCTCTCACGCCACCGCTAGACAACCTCACGCCACTCCGTCGTATTCGCCACGGTGGCTAGGAGATGTCAACTGCCTCGCCAGGTGTACAGGAGGTCGTGGGTTCGCTCCCGACCCTGACACCTGCTGCTGTTTATTTGCAGTTTGCGGAGTCTCTCTCTCATCATCATCACGGTGGCTATGAGGTGTTAACTACCTCGACTGGTATACAGGAGGTCGTGGGTTCGATCCCGACCCTGACGCCTGCTGCTGTTTATTTGCAGTTTGCGTGTCTCTCTCATCATCATCATCATCACAGTGGCTAGGAGATGTTAACTACCTCGCCTGGTATACAGGAGGTCGTGGGTTCGATCCCGACCCTGATGCCTGCTGCTGTTTATTTGCAGTTTGCGGTGTCTCTCTCCCCGTGGTCACATCGATTTTTCCGTGGGTCCAACCCCGGTTTCTCCCTCCACATTGAGAATTAACGTCACGCGTTCAGAGTATTTGGCTACGGCTGTAAATTTCCACGCGACAAGCCACTTCGTTTGAGCGACCACCTGGGATCGTCAGGTCGCATCTAAAATGAGCTACACAGCTCAGTGGGCCTTACCTGCTAAGATTTTAAAAAATAGTTCCGTTTCGTTGTTTATTCCTAGACAATGCTCGTTTTTGTTTATTTTTCATTATTTTTTTGAACATAGCTACGTGACTTTACCGAAAGACCCAAATATTATAATGCTTACACGGTTAAGAGACGTTTTTGATTTGCTACATTTGTATTTTTGGGCTTTCTACTGCGCAGAGTAAAGGTGCAGCGTCTTGCTGGCAGCAGCGCTGGTGGAGAACTTCCACTGGAGAACCCCTCCAATGCTCTCTGTTGTTTAGTTGTCGTTCCACACCCCCTCCTCCATCTCCGTTTAGCACGGTTGGCTACGCACGGTGCGTAAGAAGTTCAATGGACACACACATCACATACACACCATACACACACACCACACACACACACCACACACACCACACACACACCACACACACCACACACACACCACACACACTACACACCACACACACACCACACACACCACACACACCACACACACACACCACACACACCACACACACACTACACATCACACACACACACCACACACCACACACACCACACACACACACTACACACCACACACACACCACACACCACACACACCACACACACACACACCACACACACTACACACCACACACACACACCACACACACCACACACACACACCACACACACACCACACACACACACCACACACCGCACACACCACACACACACCACACACACACTACACACCACACACACACCACACACACACACCACACACACCACACACACACCACACACACACCACACACACACTACACACCACACACACACACCACACTTTACCCCACCACACGTGACCGACTAAACCTACTAACACTGCTTGAACTTGTGCCCATCCCCCGTAGTCCACGAGTCTAGACCAAATCCTCTCACCGGTCGGTACCGCCTGGGGACGGCATTGCTGCGGAGGCCCCTACTCCCCTATGTGGCCAATAGCGGTGAATTACGCGGCAGCCCTTTGGAAACGAGCGGGAGTTGTCGTACGGTCCTCTCTCATCACCCGTACAAATACCTCGCTGTGTAATGAAATGCTTTGCTTATTCAGGTGTGGTACCAACACGCGTCTGTCTGTGTGTGTGTGTGTGCCCTGGCTGCGGGAAGACAGCGGTGATGGCAGTGGCCACAACGTGATGGCAGTGGCGGTGCCCGCACCTGATGATGGCCACCTGCTCGGACAGCGAGCCCACGGCCATGTCGGGGTAGCTGTTGCCGTCCACGTCGATGCCGCCCACCACCGAGTAGCCGAAGAACCTGATGGGGCTCGAGAAGCTCTCGCCATCGATCACCTGCAGCAGCGCCCCCGAACGGAAGGCCCCCCGGGGTTAATGCTCGTTCGTTCGTCTGGGTGGATGCGTCGTAAACCCACCTCCGCCCATCGGGTAAGGCTCGTCATGCGAACAAGACGTGCCAGTTGGTTACCGCAGGCGGTCTACGGTGTACGACGCTTATATGAAGCCACCATCATGAAAACCCGCCACCACCCGACACAGCCAACTAGTAAGGGTTCGTCACGTAAACAGAATGTGGCCAATTCGTCACTAGTACAGCACACCAGTAAATGTTGTGGCTTGGCTCCCCAACACACCCGGTTTGCTGTACTCGTGACGAATTGGCACGTTCTGTTTACGTGACAACCCTTACTAGTTGGCCGTGTCAGGTGGTGGCGAGTTTTAACGACACATTCATATATTTACGCGATCCAACCCAAAAAACCTCTAATATGGAGAATTATCCTTCCAGGGAGGGGACGGGGGGGAGGGGTGTGGAATCAGGGATGCGTACAGCCGGTACGGTGACACGAATCCGTAAACAGTGCAACGCTTGATTGCTTTGCCTTGGTAACTTCACGACGGGCGAGCGTAGGATCGTCACCTGGGTGGCTTTCGGATTGAGCCCCTGCGAGCCTCCGTGGTAGATGAAGACCTTCCCATGGCCGTCGTACGGCGCTCCCACCGCCACGTCTGCGGAAGGCGGCGATTACGCGCGGACAGAGAGAGAGAGAGAGAGAAAGAAAAGACACGAGCACAATCGTCATCATCGCACTCCGTTTGTGACGCGTTTCTCTTGTTGGGTTCAGATGCGCCAGGGAAACCGCAGGCTGAGCGGGAGGGCGGGCAGGAGCGGCGTCAACAATTGCCCGAGCTCTCTGGCCCTACATTTGGATGTTTAGTGAGTGTGTATGCATGTGCGAGGAAAGTGGAGTACCAGGAGAAACCCCTCCCCACCGCCCCCCCCCCCCGTACGGTTAGAACGCCGATCAAATTCGAGCCACTTGCTGTGTCTGCCACACCCTTGCCAAAGCCAGCATAGAAGATTCGGGACGTTTTACAAATGTGATCCATCCACCAAAACCTCGCTACCTGCACGGTGCAGCGCCCGTCCACACCACACATCCCTGCAAGAACATCCCCGCTCCGAGAGCGGCGAGATGTTAACTACCTCGCCTGGTATGCAGGAGATTGACGCTTGTTGTTTGCGTGTCTCCCTCCCCGTGGTCGCGTGGATTTTTCCTCCGGGGTTTCTCCCTCCACATCCAGAATCAACATGACGCCTTTAGAGTGTTTGGCCATGATACATTTCCACGCGATGATGATGATGAGCCACTTCGTTGAGCTAGCATTTGTGATAGCCATGTCGCGTCTGGAAAAGAGCTACGCGTAGAGCTCAGCGGCGGGGGCCTTACCTGGTAAAATAAAAAAAATCGTTTATCGTTTTTAAACAAAAAAAAACAGTTTTCAGGCTTCCCCGCCTACAAACGGTTTAGCGCCATGGCGGCGATGGACGCACCTGGAAACCCGTCCTGGTTGAGGTCGCCCACGGCGGCCACGCAGAGGCCGAACATCGATGCCGTGGTGCCATTGAGGCGCAGGTGGTACTGGGCGTCGAAGTTCCCGTTCTTGTTGAGGTAGATGTAGGCCGCCCCGCCGATGTGCTCCTTGATGTCAAAGAACTGCGGCGCTCCCACCACCAGGTCCTTCCAGCTGCGCGGAGCGAGGGACACGCGGGAGGGGGGGTGGATCATGAGTCGTGTGTCAAGTCTCCCCGGTTGTATGTGTGTAGGGGAAGTGGTGGTGTAGCGGTCAGCGCTGTACTGCGCCACTGAAGCTATGGCGTCCCCGGGGGGTTTGATACCCGCTCAAGGACACCAACGACATCGGTGGCGATTATCCAAACCGGTCCTCGGCCTCCCCTAGGTCGACTCGGCCTCAAATGAGGACCCGGTGCGGTGTGTGAAACAACGCCGCTTAGGGAGACAAAGGCCCACTGAGCTATCTCTTTTTCGGAAGCGATCTGTCCACAAATGATAGCTCAACGAAGCGAATTATCCCGTGGAAATGCATAGCGCACAAATACTCTCAACGTGTGATGTTGACTCTAAATGTGGAGGGAAAAACCGGAGGACCTGGGGAGAAATCCACGCGAGTGAAGAGAAGGTGACTGAGCACCAGCAAGTGAGCGAGCGACCGGTATGACCGGAGCGACCCGAGCGACCGGAGTCACCGGAGCGACCGGAGTCACCGGAGCGACCGGAGTCACCGGAGTCACTGGAGCGACCGGAGTCACCGGAGCGACTGGAGTCACCGGAGCGACCGGAGTCACCGGAGCGACCGGAGTCACCGGAGCGACCGGAGTCACCGGAGCGACCCAAGCGACCTGAGCGACCTGAGCAACCTGAGCCACCGGAGTCACCAGAGTCACCGGAGTCACCGGAGCGACCCGAGCGACCTGAGCGACCTGAGTCACCGGAGTCACCGGAGTCACCGGAGTCACCGGAGCGACCCGAGTGACCCTAGCGACCTGTACGACCGGAGCGACCTGAGCAAGCTGAGTCACCGCAGCGACCGAAGAAACTGGAGCGGAGCGACCGGGGCGACCGGAGCGTATTCGCCGGATGTGCCGGGGCCCCCCGGCCGCTGCGCTGCGCCGGGCGCGGGACCCACCCGTCGTTGTCGATGTCCACGAGGGCCACGTCGTAGCCGAAGGAAGAGGCGAGCTGCTCGCCGTAGAGGACCTGCTCGCGCTCCATGCTGCTCGGCGGGCTGATCTTGAGGAAGAGCACGGCGCCCGTGTGGTTGGCGCGCGGCGCTCCCGCCACGAACGTCTCGCGGCCCTTGTCCGTGACGCCGATGCCCGACTCCATGGAGAAGCCTGCGCTCCGCGGGGAAGTCACAAGCAAACGGCGCGGCCTTTCACTCGCGGTCTTCCGTAAGCGCCCACGTCGGCCGTGGTCTATCCACTGCTGGACGAAGGCCTTTCCTACCCGCCGCCAACCGCCACCGCCGCCTCTCGCTCTTCGACCTCGCGACGCGACAATTCACGATCTTATGGTGGAGGGTCCGAGTCTGTTCCACAGGGCAGCCACACAAAGTGGCACTCATTCCGCCCGCCCCCTCCACCCATGGCTCCTCGCTGAGCCGGGTGGGGGGGTGGGGAGCCTTCCCAATGGGGAGTAGCACCCCCCCACCCGCCCCCCCCCTCCAGGGTTTACTGGGTGGGAGGGGGGGGGTTGGGGGGTGCTTACCCGGGGGGGGAGGGGGGATTTCCTTGGCGGGGAGGAGTGCCCCCCCCCCTTCCCCAGAGTTTCCCGGGGGGGTGGGGGTGGAGGGGGGCGGGGTGGTTACCCAGGTAACTGTTCTGCTCCACGGGGACGTCGTTGCCGTTCTTGATGCGCTCGTCGCCCGTCTCGTAGGGGCCGTCATTCAACACCTCGCCCCGCTCCACCAGCGTCAGGTTGATGGCGTCCACGTGCACCACGCCTGGCACGCCACACGCACGCGCCCACACACACCGCACACACACACCACACACACACGCACCACACACACACACCACACACCACACACACACACACCACACACACCACATACCACACACACACGCACCACACACACACACCACACACACACACCACACACACACACCATACACACCATACACACACACACCACACACACACCACACACACACACGCACACACACACACACCACACACACACCACACACACACCCATATACACACACCACACACACACACCACACACACACACCACACACACACCACACACACACACCACACACACACCACACACACCACACACACACACCACACACACACACCACACACACCACACACACACACACCACACACACACATGTATGCGTAAGCCAGATGTAGAGCTTCTCCGGCGGGTGCCTCACGGCTGCAAGCAAACCCGGACTGCCGTGCCTCGACTGGTACCTTTGTGTGTGTGCACGTGTGTGTGTGCACGTGTGTGTGTGACGAGTCTATGGGTCTCTATATGAGTCTATGGGTCTCTGTGTGAGTCTATGGGTCTCTCTGTGAGTCTATGGGTCTCTGTGTGAGTCTATGGGTCTCCGTATGACGAGTCTATGGGTCTCTGTGTGAGCCTATGGCTCTCTGTGTGAGTCTATGGGTCTCTGTGTGAGTCTATGGGTCTCCGTGTGAGTCTATGGCTCTCTGTGTGAGCCTATGGCTCTCTGTGTGAGCCTATGGGTCTCTGTGTGAGTCTATGCGTCTCCATATGACGAGTCTATGGGTCTCTGTGGCGAGCCCACGCGTGTGCGCACGTTGAACGTCTTCCGCACCACCCTACGTGGCCGACCGGCGCTAACGCGAGGCTGCAACGGCGCACGTACCGCGCCAGTAGTAGGAGCCGACGGCGCCGGAGTAGAGGTAGTGGGTGTCGTGCGTGAAGCCCGCGTCAAGGCCCTGCTGGCAAACGCCGAACCACTCGTGCGTGGCGGCGCGGCCCTCGCAGAAGTGGTACTGGCCGCCGTGGATGGGGTCCCTCGACTTGTCGCTGAGGTTCTGGTCGAGGAGGTAGCAGCGGCCGATGAGGCTGCGCGACTCCGACACCTGCCCCACGTTGCTCCGCACCTCGTAGCGGTGGGCGCATACCTGCGACCCGGAAAAAGATAACAAAAGGTAATAAACCCCCGTGTAGCCTCGGCGAGCCTTGCCTGCCTTGGGGGTGACGCAGAGAGAGCCGCTGAAGGTCGTCCGGCATGGCGTGGGCTTGCTGCGGCCTCGTGCTCCACAGGGAGTGAAGAGGAGCGAGTCGGTAAGTCTGCGGAGGGCCGACATTTACGCACCGCACCGGGGACTCGTTTAGAGCCGAGTCGACTTCGGGCAGGCCCGCGACCGGTTGAGATAATCGTCACCGGTGTTGGTGGCCTTGAGCTGGAATCGAACTCGGGTCGCCGGGGGGTTCGTAGCTGTGGCGTAGCGCTAACCGCTGCGCCTCCGCTCCCCGCGCGACCGAGGGCCGAGCACCAGACGCAGCGAGCGTCGACAGCTCCGTGTCCATCTCTCGTTGAGCATTGCACAGGGCAGCAGTAACGGGCAATGCCGTGTGTCACACAGTGTGGGTGAATGCCGTGTCACTGCACGGTGTCACACAGTGTGGGTGAATGCCGTGTGTCACACAGTGTGGGTGAATGCCGTGTCACTGCCATGTGTCACACAGTGTGGGTGAATGCCGTGTCACTGCGCGGTGTCACACAGTGTGGGTGAATGCCGTGTGTCACACAGTGTGGGTGAATGCCGTGTCACTGTAGGTGTCACACAGTGTGGGTGAATGCCGTGTCACTGTAGGTGTCACACAGTGTAAGTGAATGTCGTGTCACTGCCATGTGTCACACAGTGTGGGTGAATGTCGTGTGTCACACAGTGTGGGTGAATGCCGTGTCACTGTAGGTGTCACACAGTGTGGGTGAATGTCGTGTCACTGCCATGTGTCACACAGTGTGGGTGAATGTCGTGTCACTGTAGGTGTCACACAGTGCGGGTGAATGTCGTGTCACTGCACGGTGTCACACAGTGTGGGTGAATGTCGTGTCACTGCCATGTGTCACACAGTGTGGGTGAATGTCGTGTGTCACACAGTGTGGGTGAATGCCGTGTCACTGTAGGTGTCACACAGTGTGGGTGAATGTCGTGTGTCACACAGTGTGGGTGAATGCCGTGTCACTGTAGGTGTCACACAGTGTGGGTGAATGTCGTGTCACTGCCATGTGTCACACAGTGTGGGTGAATGCCGTGTCACTGCGCGGTGTCACACAGTGTGAGTGAATGTCGTGTCACTGCACGGTGTCACACAGTGTGGGTGAATGCCGTGTCACTGTAGGTGTCACACAGTGCGAGTGAATGTCGTGTCACTGTAGGTGTCACACAGTGCGAGTGAATGCCATGTCACTGCCATATGTCACACAGTGTGGGTGAATGCCGTGTTACTGCGTGGTGTCACACAGTGTGGGTGAATGTCGTGTCACTGCCATGTGTCACACAGTGTGGGTGAATGCCGTGTCACTGCGCGGTGTCACACAGTGTGGGTGAATGTCGTGTCACTGCACGGTGTCACACAGTGCGGGTGAATGCCGTGTCACTGCCATGTGTCACACAGTGTGGGTGAATGCCGTGTCACTGCACGGTGTCACACAGTGCGGGTGAATGCCGTGTCACTGCCATGTGTCACACAGTGTGGGTGAATGCCGTGTCACTGCCATGTGTCACACAGTGTGGGTGAATGTCGTGTCACTGCGTGGTGTCACACAGTGTGGGTGAATGCCGTGTCACTGCACGGTGTCACACAGTGTGGGTGAATGCCGTGTCACTGCACGGTGTCACACAGTGTGGGTGAATGCCGTGTCACTGCGTGGTGTCACACAGTGTGGGTGAATGCCGTGTCACTGCCATGTGTCACACAGTGTGGGTGAATGCCGTGTCACTGCGTGGTGTCACACAGTGTGGGTGAATGCCGTGTCACTGCATGGTGTCACACAGTGTGGGTGAATGTCGTGTCACTGCCATGTGTCACACAGTGTGGGTGAATGCCGTGTCACTGCGTGGTGTCACACAGTGTGGGTGAATGCCGTGTCACTGCACGGTGTCACACAGTGTGGGTGAATGCCGTGTCACTGCCATGTGTCACACAGTGCGAGTGAATGTCGTGTCACTGCGTGGTGTCACACAGTGCGAGTGAATGCCGTGTCACTGCACGGTGTCACACAGTGCGAGTGAATGTCGTGTCACTGCACGGTGTCACACAGTGTGGGTGAATGCCGTGTCACTGCCATGTGTCACACAGTGCGAGTGAATGCCGTGTCACTGCACGGTGTCACACAGTGCGGGTGAATGTCGTGTCTCTGCCATGTGTCACACAGTGTGGGTGAATGCCGTGTCACTGCACGGTGTCACACAGTGTGGGTGAATGCCGTGTCACTGCACGGTGTCACACAGTGTGGGTGAATGTCGTGTCACTGCACGGTGTCACACAGTGCGCGGGAATTCCGTGTCACTACACGGTGTCACACAGTGTGGGTGAATGCCGTGTCACTGCGTGGTGTCACACAGTGCGAGTGAATGCCGTGTCACTGTAGGTGTCACACAGTGTGGGTGAATGCCGTGTCACTGTAGGTGTCACACAGTGTGGGTGAATGCCGTGTCACTACATGGTGTCACACAGTGTGAGTGAATGCCGTGTCACTGCACGGTGTCACACAGTGCGAGTGAATGCCGTGTCACTGCACGGTGTCACACAGTGTGGGTGAATGCCGTGTCACTGCACGGTGTCACACAGTGTGGGTGAATGCCGTGTCACTGCACGGTGTCACACAGTGTGGGTGAATGCCGTGTCACTGTACGGTGTCACACAGTGTGGGTGAATGCCGTGTCACTGCACGGTGTCACACAGTGCGCGGGAATTCCGTGTCACTACACGATGTCACACAGTGTGGGTGAATGCCGTGTCACAGCGTGGTGTCACACAGTGCGAGTGAATGCCGTGTCACTGCGTGGTTGTGTCTATATTTACCACAACTTTGCCACCGACCCCAGAGCTCCGCACAACCGATCCCAGCCACTGGTTGTCCTTGGACTCCTTGGACGGGTCATCTGGGGGGGGGGGGGAGGGCAGCGAGAGAGTGACGGTATGTGTGTGTTTCAAGGTGTGTGCGTCTGTTGAACTTCTTTCCCACTCTACGATCGCTTGCGCGCTTCACAGCGCGCCTCCGATTCGCCGGCTAAGTACGGCGCGAAAGGAGTTCAGGCGTGCACACACGTGCTGCGCGCACGTTTCAAATCAGTGGGTTGGGATGGCGCGTGGCCAATCATCGCCCCCCTACTGGCGGACTCGCGACCAATCCGCGGGCTAAGTGCGGGGTCATTCTCGTGCCACACGGAGATCGCTGCCACTCCGGGAGGGGGGGTGCTCTTTTTAAAATTTGGAGCCTTGAGTAATTTTGCTGTGATAGGTTTGCACACGACGCCGGTAAGCCACTACGTCGAGACGTCATTTACGATGGCCAGGCCGCTTCTGAAAAAAGAGCTCTTACGGCTCACTGATGGGCCTTACCATGTAAAAATAAAAAGTACAGTAAAACCTTGGATTGCGAGCATTATTCGTTCCGGAAATGTGTTTGTAATCCAAAGCACTCGTATACCAAAGCACTTGTACTGTATATCAGTTGTGATCACGTGACGCTCGGCAGTACAAGACCTCACTCGTTTATCAAATTAATATTTATTTACAATTTTGTCTCGTCTTGCAAAACACTCGCAGACCAAGTTACTCGCAATCCAAGGTTTTACTGTCATAGTTTTAAATAGTTTTAGTTTAAAATGCGTCGAGATGGGAAAGCGCTCCTAGACGCCCCGCTGTCAAACACAAATTGTGAACATCATTTATGCTTTATCTTTTATGGAACTGAAGGTAACTACGTACACTATTATTGGCCGCTCATCTCCTCAAACGCCGCCCACTCCTCTGATTACTAAAACTAACAGATTGTTTTAATTTAACCAGGCAAGGCCGACCACTTAGCTGTGTTGCTCTTTTTCAGAAGCGAGCTGGCGATCACAAATCATAGCTCAACGAAGTGGCTCGTCGTCGTTGTGTGGACATTTATAGCAACCAAATACTCTGAACGTGTGACGTCGATTCCAAATGTGGAGCGAAAAACCGGAGGACTCGGAGAAAAATCCACGCGACCACGGTGAGAGAGACACCGCAAACTCCAAATATACAGCAGCAGCAGGCGTCATGGTTTGGATTGAACCCACGACCTCCTGTATACCAGGCGAGGTAGTTAACATCTCCTAGCCACCGTGATGATGATGAGAGACACCGCAAACTCCAAATGTACAGCAGCAGGCGTCAGGGTTGGGATTGAACACAAGACCTCCTGTAAACCAGGCGAGGTAGTTAACATCTCCTAGCCACCGTGATAATGATGAGAGACACGCAAACTTCAAATATACAGCAGCAGGCATCAGGGTCGGGATTGAACCCAAGACCTCCTGTACACCAGGCGAGGTAGTTAACATCTCATAGCCACCGGAGAGGACAACCACAGATGTCTGAGAATGTTGCTTAATACAAATACGCCCCAACGGCGGTTTTTACTAAAACTCACTAAGCAAAAGTGGTGATGTTTGTTTTTGGTGCAAAAATGTGCAAATACTTCCATCCGATTCCGCAACAAAGCGTGTGCCGCGATGAATCCCGTCCGCATCGTGAAGAATGAATGAACGTGAAGGTATTTGCGTATTTATCACATGGATGTTTTGGATGAAGTTACTTTTCCTAAAACAATCATTCGGGTGAAATGAGAGAAGTGTCCGCATGGCTCAGGGCTCAGAGACGTTGATTCGGTGCCGCCTAGACCCTGGGTTCGAACCCAGGTCCTCAGCCACTGTTGAAACTGGGTTCTCTGATCATCTGGGCTTAGTCCCTGAAAGGCCAGACAAACTCCCAGCTCTGAGAATACACAACTCTCAGTTTGTTTTGAAATGCACGCGAACATTTTGTGTGTGCGGAGTACATGAAGGGGCCTCTGTTAACGCGACTTCAGAATTTGCTTGGTTTTATTTATGGGACATTTTTTTTTTTGCCAGAGCTATTAAGTGTTCTGATACCTACATTGTCTTTGTACTGTTCACTTTTAGGCATTCTTTGCACGAAATAGTGCTATAGAAATGAAGACTTGATTGATTGATTGATTCTCTGGTTTAACACTGGTGGAACTAGGCCATAAAGAAGGTCGTCTCTGGTGTAGGACTATCAGTTTCAAAGACAATGCCCATATATTATCAGAGCGTGTTTGTTTGCATGTTTTTCCACAAGCACATGTGGTTCATGAGGACTTGACGCTACAAAAGGTTCCTATTTGGTGTTTGAGCATCTTAACACCTCCTGCTTTATCGACAGAAAGGGTAAATACCTATTCTTATTTTCATACGTTATACTTTTGCACGTTATTTTATGATATTGTTCGTTTCACGAAGGAACGCCTTCATTTAACCTTGTTGCACCCTGCTCATCTGCGGCAGCGGTCACTTTAAATGTCCCGGCAGCGCACCTTATCTCTCCTCATCACTCTTACGGCCATCGCAAACCAAGTCGGCCTCTTAAGAGAGCCCGACCTCGACTCAGATTCGCAACTGGACACGTGAACTCTCTCGCGACTCAGAGAGCTCTAAGTGGAAATTCTGAGTCTCAGAGTGCAACAGAAATACATTTGGTGGTGGTGAGGGAGGGATGGGGAGGGATGGGGAGGGGTGGGGGTGAAACCAAAGGGGCCTCATCAGCGTGCGAGACCACCAGGACGTGGCATCACGTGGCTGGTGTCATTGAGAGAGCGAGAGTGGCTGGTGTCATTGAGAGAGGCAGAGTGGCTGGTGTCATTGAGAGAGGCAGAGTGGCTGGTGTCATTGAGAGAGGGAGAGTGGCTGGTGTCATTGAGAGAGGGAGAGTGGCTGGTGTCATTGAGAGAGGGAGAGTGGCTGGTGTCATTGAGAGGCAGAGTGGCTGGTGTCATTAAGAGAGGCAGAGTGGCTGGTGTCATTGAGAGAGACAGAGTGGCTGGTGTCATTGAGAGAGGCAGAGTGGCTGGTGTCATTGAGAGAGGCAGAGTGGCTGGTGTCACTGAGAGAGGGAGAGTGGCTGGTGTCATTGAGAGAGGGAGAGTGGCTGGTGTCATTGAGAGAGGGAGAGTGGCTGGTGTCATTGAGAGAGGCAGAGTGGCTGGTGTCATTGAGAGAGGCAGAGTGGCTGGTGTCATTGAGAGAGGGAGAGTGGCTGGTGTCATTGAGAGGGAGAGTGGCTGGTGTCATTGAGAGAGGCAGAGTGGCTGGTGTCACTGAGAGAGGCAGAGTGGCTGGTGTCATTGAGAGAGGCAGAGTGGCTGGTGTCATTGAGAGAGGCAGAGTGGCTGGTGTCATTGAGAGAGGCAGAGTGGCTGGTGTCATTGAGAGAGGGGGAGAGTTCACGACGGAAGCTCACAGTCAGAGTCGATGTCCACGCGGCGGCAGCTGCCAGTGGTAACGGGGCAGCGGAAGAGAGCACCAGTCTGCACCGAGGAGAACCGGGAGTTGGCTGAGAACGACGTCGGAGCCCCGACCAGCAGCCTGCACGAGGTGGGCACGTGGAGGACAGGGAGAGACGCGGGGCACACACGGGGGGGGAGACGCACGGATAAGAGACACGGGGGAGGTGGGGGAGACACACGGTGTGCACGGGGGGGAGACACACTTTGCTTGGATAATAACGTCCTTCCGATGGTTGCTCAGCTTATACCAAACCTTGCAGAGGTACTCTTTGCAGAGTACCTCTGCTGTGGTTGATCATTGTTATAACGCAGTGGGCTCGCACGATATTGTTTTTTTCCGAGACCAAGGTACTCTGTAAACCTTTGGGCTACCATCAAAGATTTGTCCATGAAGCCATCCAGATATATAAACACAGAGACAATTTCCACCGAGAAGATGGGTATAAGCTGAGCAATCATTGGAAAGATGTTATTAGCCAAGCAAAGTCATAACTTGCTGTGGTGCTTCCATTCTTCCCTGCGGTTTGGCTGTTATCTCTGACTCTCTGAGTTGCATTGCCCTGTCAGGTGCCTCTGTATTAACAGGCTGGGGTCTCACTAACATGGCCACCTCTGCTCCCTTAGCCTCGATGTATCGATGGTTCTGGCTGTGTGATGGGCTGTGTGTCTCACTGGCGCGACCACCGTTGCTGTGGTTCTCTTGCGTGGACGCGCTTGCCTCTCACAGTGCAGTTGGCAGCGCCACAGCAGCTTGTGTTACACATAGACATGGCATTAACTTACTAATCCCCCTAATCTCCCTGCCTAATCTCTCCCATCAACATAGTGCTAATCTCCAATTAACGCTGCTGCTGTGCGCATATGCGGGGACGATACTCTTATGCGGTGACGGAAGCTCATTTCATGCTAATCTCTCTCCCTAGTATCTCTCTAATCTCCCCAATTAACACAACTGACGTGCTTGCGTCCGGGGATGGAATTCCTTTCCAGCTCAGACCCCGCTTGCTTGCCCATCGCCACATATATAACTTTGTTGTAACAGCTCTTTCACTGGTTCAGCAGTTCCACGGCTGGATGATATTTTTTCCGCCTGAGGACGACCGCTTGTGTTGCGATCAAAACGTCATGATATATTATTTTTTGTTTCATTTTATTTTTATACCTACATGACTTTACCAAAATTACCAAAGAGTATGGATTGCTGCAGTCACGAAAGTTTCAAATCAAGATTTATATTTTAACCAATTGCCCATGTTGTGAGGTTGTCCTAACGGGCGAGTTACTGCAAGCGAATAAGGGATGCTCTGCACGCGTGACGTAATATGTTTGCACTCGCTGGTCACTCTTGGAAACCCGCACTGTTTACGATCAATGAGTTTAGAAATGCCTTTTATATTGTTCTACGTTACCACATGTATTTTATTCGTGGTTATTTTACATTGGCTGATTCACGCGTGATTATTCACCAGTGACTCTCGCGCACGATACAACTTCACACGTTCACCCCCCCCCCCCCCCCCCCCGAGGGGGTGATGTAGAGATGACGAGGCGTAGAGAGACGCACCGCCTACGGCGGAGTCACCCACCCGGGACCGGCGAGCGAGAGTCACGGGCAGGGCGACCGATTGTGGGGCAACCACAAGAACCTGCCGCCGGCACCACCTGCAGAGGCCACGCGAGCCCCTGGGCCACCCTGACTCTTGGGCCCCGTGGCCCCGTGGCCCCGCGCCTCGCAAAAGGGCCTAGGCCGAGCGTTCGCTGCAGTCACGACCGAGTGCATTGTGGAGCTGTGGGGTGGAGTTGTGGGTCAGCGGATGGCGCTACGGGTCAAGGGGCAGTGTGAGCTCGAGCTCTCGTGTGCGCAGGGCCATGGGCCCCCCATGTGGAATTGTCTCCCTCGTGTACTTCGCATTTACCAATCGCGCGGTCGCGGTGCCAAATGGCGAATGTGCTTGCTACCGTTTAGTCCGATGCGAAACGCGTCCCACCGTTAAAATGCATCGGCGTGTAACGTAACAGTTCATCCTTTCGCACCAACCGAGTCAAACTACCCCGCTTCGACCGCCGAAAATTACAATCTACGCACGCTCGCGTGTGCGCGCGTCGCCGTGAGGTTTTTTTTTTTTGCAAAGGAATTTCTGCCCGGGTAAAAGCTGCGGACACGGCGCGTGTCCCGACAGCGGCAGAGCTGCGAGCAAAGGCGCGGCCGCAGCCACAGCCACAGCCGTCGTCGCGAAGCCCCCACACGCTCGAGGGGGGGGGGGGCCTCGCGCGGACGCTCGGGAATGGAGTGTGCCCGGCTCTGGGTGTAAACCCGGCTGCGGAATGTGCCGCGGGCGGGCGGGGTGGTGTGGGGTTGGGGTGTGGGGTGTGTGTGGTGGTGACCGGGACAGGTTGTGCCTTGCAGTGAGTGACACAGCAGCCAGTAGCCAGCAAACGGGCCGGGGAGCGTCTCGCAGCCACCACCGCCGCCACCGCCGTAGAGACGCGTCCCATCCCACTGCGCACTTGACACTGGCCAGTCTCGCAATAAATGTACTTTGATTGCAGTTTGGGAGGAGGGATGTGGGTTCTTTTTGTGACTTGAATTCTCTACAACAACGCCGATGATGATTATTGCTGCGTCGTGTATGAATTCGCTTGCATCGGAACTAGGACCAATAACTAATGGAGAGAGGATCTTTGCCTATAATCACCTGGCAGTTCACCAGCAGTTACAAGCGAGTCTGTCAGGAATTTGCTTAAATCACGCACTGTGTGTGGTGACACGATGGGAAGTGTAAAAAATTTTTACGTGAAAAACTAGATCGTGAAAAGGTCATCTCACAGTAATACCCCGGTTAACGTCGGGGATGCGTGTTCCTGAAGGTTGCGACAACGAATATCGAAACGAGGCAAATCGAAACGACTTCACAGGGCAGGAGGTGGTGGAGGCTGCGAGGCGACGGATTCACGAGAAAGGAGGGACGGCGACGATGCTGCCAGCGACGTGATCGTGGTGGATGAGGCGACGCACATCAGGCGGCTCTGTTAATAATGAAGTGGCGACGTCTTCGCGGTTCGACATAAGAACGGGGGGGAGGGGGGGGGGGAGATGTAAATCCGGGTGTTACTTTATCTGGGTATTTAGAATCTCACCGTCAATCACCACCCAATTGCTGAAACCGGTCAAAGTGCCCTGCACTGGCAAAGATTGCACTGGAAAAAAACGCACAGCTCGGCCGCATATCTCACCGGCACTGCGCATCCCCCCCACCCCCCTGAACACGATGCGTGCGCTGGCATCCACATGGAGGATGGTTCACACGGTCGGCTGCGTAAGGCGCGAAAGAAGTTCAACGTGCACACACTGCTCAAGTGTTCACGATCCACGCGGTGTTAGGTGCGGCGGGGCGGCGGGCCATGCGGTTCGTTCTCTCCGCTGGTTCTGTCCACGCTGAAGAAAACGCTGCCGCTGGACGTGGCGGTGAGGTTGTTTTCATAAAAGAGGCCAACAATTGAGGTCAGCGTCGCGTGTGAAGAGTCACACACGGCAAGTGGGAGACTCAGTCACGGCGTGAGATCGGTGCCGGGAGACGAACGGTGGTGCCAGGGAGAAGGGAGCAGTGGAAGACGCGGGCGGGCTCCAAACATCACCCGGCCCGAGCGAACACAGAAGCACACAGACACAACCACACCACACAACCACACCACACAGACACATCCACATAGACACAGCCACACAGACACATCCACACAAGTACACAGACACATCCACACAAGCACACAGATGCATCCACACAAGCACACAGATGCATCCACACAAGCACACAGACACATCCACACAAGCACACAGACACATCCACACAACAACAACCGCCATTCGCCACGAAGTGGCGGTGACTTGACCACGACGCTTGTGCCAGGCCATGTGCACCTTGAGACCACGTGAAGTGTCGAACGCCCGCTGGCAGGAGGTCACAGGGCAAACCCAAGTGCCACGGGTCGACTGACTAAGATGACTGAGATGACTGGCTGATGCACCACCTGTGCCCCCTACTGTGCCAACCTGCTGTGCTTCAGCCACCCGGCGCTCCGCTCGTTGTTGTGAGCGTCGCTCCTCTGCCCTCCGTTGTTGTTGGAGGGCGACTACCTCCAACTGCCCAGTAGCGTCCTTCACGAGTCTCCTCCAGAGGCCGATCTTGACACCGCTGGTACCAGTCATCGGCAAGTCCATTCAGCTCCACGTCCTCCTGTACCACATCACTCCATCTCTTCTCTAGCCCATGCCGCGCCCATTTAGCACCCTCGATCCGGCCGAACAAAAGCTGTTTCGGCATGTGGTGGCTGGGCATGCGGACTACATGGCCCAGCCAACGCAGCCTTGCTTGCCATAGGAGCTCACCGATGGGACCTTGCCCAGATATTTCAAGGATTTGTGAGCTCCTCACACAATCCAGCCTTGTTAAACCCAGGATGGATCGTAGGCAGGCTAGCCTAAATGTTTCTAACCGGCGAAGATGTTCCATTAGGGAGGTCCACGTTTCGCAACCATAGAGAAGGGAGGGAATGACCGTGGCCGAGAAGACCTGGAGCTTCGTGCGGAGTGATAGACCAGGTAGCTTCCACACAGCGTTACGCAACCAATGAAAAGGATGCCGCTCGACTGATTCGGAGTGAGACCTAGGCTGTTAAACCGGAGCCGGTCATGAGCACACTGCCCAGGTATGGGAAACTCTCCACTCTCTCCACAACTGCCCCATCACCAATTGAGAGTTGTGGGGGTGGATTGTCCGATGGTACAAAATACCTAGGCAGGTGCTTAGTTTTGGTGGGGCTGATGGTAAGGCCCCACCTCTTAGTGTCAAGCTCCAGGTTCAGCAACAGTACCTCCAGCTCCTCTGAGTGAGCAGCTATCACCAGATCATCGGCATACAAACATGGTTGAGCCATAGGGAGCCATCCCTTGACCGCACCCGGGCATTGATCAGCCTCCCATTGAATCTGTACCAGATGAAAATTCCTCCAGGACAGCTAATGAAGGCTTCACAAACTACGTGGTCAAAATAGATGTTAAATAATGTGGGAGCCAGAAGACAT